ATCTAAAGGTGCACACAGCAATTCTTACACGACAGGGTTTCGATCATGTTCATGTTTGAGTTCACATTGCGGTTGTGACATAGCGACATTGCGGTTGTAACAATCTTGGTGTTAGGATTTTCTTTTCTTGATATTATGCATAAGGGTTTTCTCTTTCTGACAACATAAGTCATTTTGGTGGCTAAATTATGAGTGATGGGTTTAATTGCACATGAAAAAGGCCATTTTTTTGCATCATTTTTCATCGAGAAATTCTTTTTTCCCCCTAAAATTTACTGAAATTTTAGAGGTTAAAGAAATTGAAATTCTATTGCTCTCGTAGCTAAAGGGGCTATCCTTAATTTGCAAACAGTGTTTTGGCTTAAGAATTATTTCCTGAAAGAGACAGTCGCTGGAGTTGAGGTTGTGCAGAATCGAATTGTGACCCCAAAAAAACTGTGGGGAGCGGATCTTGGGGAGCGGATGAAAGCTAACAAGGCTGACACTCAGGCTTTAAAAAATGGAGTGTGCCCCCCTATACTTACAATGCTAAACTGATCCATAAAGTCTCATGAGATACTGGATCTGTAACTCTTACAGATTTTAGGTTTGGGGGTTACTGAGTGTTTGATAAATGAAGGTGACAGTCAGAAAATTTGATCCTTTTGAACCCTTGTATTGGAATAAAGTGGGCAAGAATGTGATGTTGATGGTTTTCCAGAATTGGAGTCTGATATTAGATTAGCCAATTACAGATCAGCTAATTTCCAACAACTGCACAGGCCAGGCCCTTCTGACCCAGTCCACTGACTCAGAGCCCAGAAGATTTTATCCTCCCAGGCTCCATTAGGCTGTATCTGCCCACTGACTGTGCCTTCTGTTAACTTGGCTCTATGCAAATCAAGGTAATTCAATTCACACCATGACATTAACAAGGGTGTTTACATCCACTGCATGACAAGAATATAAGGAGTTCAGAGGATCCATGCTGAGACTGAACTGCCAAAGAACTTTCAGAAAAAGAAGACTGACCAAAAGAAAACGACGAGTATTATCACATGCCAAAGAGGTCCTTGATAATTCTCTCCTGACTTAATTATAATTTTCCACAACACATTACCGAAATAAATGAGATCTTTTATAGTGCACACAGATTTTTAGAAAAGGAACTCGCAATAAGCATGGAGGTATTTTTTTTACCTCCATGCAATAAGTTATTACAAATCGCCAGTGTGCTATGGGTCTGGCACCCAGGCTAGCTTGCATCAGCCCAGGTCCATTTTCTTGGACCTATGATGGGGCAAATCATATTGGATTCCCCAAGCATGCTATTAGCCTGTTGTACCAAGGAGTTGATGAAAGCTCCTTGGTTGTACCACTGGGCGGGAGAAGCTATTAGGACCCTCCCCAATCACATAAGACTGGATACCAAGCTAAGCTGCTGCCTTTCTATAAAATGATAAATTGATTGCTTTCCTATAGGGGAACTAATCAAAACCAACCCTGTAAAAAAAACAGTGTGCCCTAAAAAAATAATAAACCAGGGCAGATGGACAGCACTGCCTAATACCGATATCAGGGAGCTTACTAGTGGCCTGCTGCCAGGCTACATGTTTGTTGTCTTGTCCCTTACAATTCTATTGGAGTCAATTCCATGTTTGGAAAACTTTAAAATTAAAGAGAGCACACCCCTCTACATTTATGTTCGAGATTTTTCACAAATATCTGTTGAAATCTCCTTGATTGTAACAATTTCAAAATTTTCCCTTTTTCATAACATTATCAATTTTCAAAAAAAATTTAAAGCAAGCTTTGAATAACCTATTTAAACCTCCTGAAATTATTTCAATAAATGTGAGAAGTATGAACCAACATGATGATGGTTCTTTGGAATTTGGTGTGAGTGGCTTACAGGCACTGATAGGGCCTGATCATCCTTCCAAAATCCTTGTTAGAGTCATTCTTTATAATCCTTTTCTTGTTCATAATCTGAACCTCCTGAATCCAGTTGGGATATGTTCTCAGGCTCTTAAACCCATACAAGCTGCCCAGATGCCTCTGACAGTTTTCTCCAAGGGTAATTGGTGTCAACGTGATAATTGGACAGTGACGATTTGCATGTTCAAGAACAATAACCGACCTGACTAACCTAAAGTTGAACCCGCATAATAAAGGTCCTACTGCAGAATATTCGCTTTAAAATTTTCTACAGGATTGTTTAACTCCTTGTGGTCTCCTTAGGCTCATATAGTAGGATTTTGGGACCAAATTATCCCTAAAGCGTCCAAAACATTTCAACTCTACAGTAAAAAGCAGGCAGTGTTGACAGTCCAGTACTCCTGGCCAAAACAAACATTTTTAAAGCCATGAGTATTGATTTGTGCATACAGTTCAATGCTTTTCAACATGTGAATATTTCTAGGCATTTAACTTTCAGGCTCAAACTTTTAAAAACCTTCTTGCTCTTATTTCAATATCAGATATTGTTTATAAAGTTTAGATATTTATACTGTGTAAATATCTCAATTTGATCAATAAACTAAAAAGTTTACTAAAAGTGTATCTAATTATATAAAATAATCATGGTTGTTTTTCTACCTGCATGATCTAATCTAGCCATAATCTGTAAAACGCGGCCTTGCTTCAATCAAGCTGTGTGTGTTATCATCACCACAATCATTTGGACAACATGTGACATAAAGTCTCCCACTCAAAAATTGGCTTCTTCAGCCAGCAAACAGTCCCGGTTTACACACAACAAGCGTAGATTTGTTTCTGTGCATTCGTTTCTGCATGTGCCCCATACCATTGCGATGACCTAATATGACCTGCCGCGATGGACGTATTTGAGATCGCTGACCAGTTTGTAGTTTGGTTGTAGCCTCCATATGTCATGTAATGTCCTTGTATACTTCCTAATCCTTCTAACAGTCTCAATTTTGCTTTTTATCCTGTCGTTGATCCATACTCCAATTTGTGCTGTTGCGCCCTTCCAATGCGCCCAGCGAACAGGAAGAAAGCTCATCAAAGTCAAAACAATTGAAATATAGAATCAAGAGGAAAGCAAAACAAAATAAAATGCGGAAAATTGAAGTTGACTTGGCGTGGCTGGCACAAACACGGGAAAAGAAAGGTATTTGAAACAGGAAAGGGGTTGCGTACGATCATTCCTGTTCACAAAAGTCTGGGAGACTCCCCACTGGGCGAGCCGCTGCATATGCAAATTTCATACAAAAATTGCGTACGCAAATTGAGACCAGTTTACACAGAGAGAAAACCTTTGCATACGCAATTTGCGTATGCAATTTTTGTATGCAAGGATTTTGCCTGACAGGCAAATCCTTGCATACGAAAATTGCGGTTTACACACAGGTGTGTAAACCGGTGTGTAAACCGGGTCAAAGATATCAGCCAAGCTACTGTGCATGGAACAGCAGACATGTCGGACACCTGCGGTAGGAGTTGCAGGGCCATGATACCATGGCCTCACCCCTTATGTTGTGTGATTGAGATGGCCACATCCCTTCGAATTTTTTCAATTCCCAAGGGAAAGCCTAGTGCTATGATCAATTACGATATTTTGCATTTTACTTGAGATAAGGTCAATATTCACCTGAATTGATTTTATGATCAAGGGAGATATAAAGCATACCCTTCTACAGCAGTCTGATTAATTCCCTAGGTGATTACTTACTCTTAATGATCCACCTAGATTGTCTTTCTATAGGATGTTAACTCTCCCTCAATTTGTGTAGGTTGTTACCCCTGATCCACCTAATCCCTTTTTGCAGCCTGTTAGATTTTTTGTTAGGTTCTGAAATGCCCCATGCTCTACTGGGTCCAATATCTTGCCACTACTGATCCAGATTGTATCACGCATTGCGCTCGGAAATGGATTGAGGTGTCACGTGATTAGAGCCCGCCATTTTCAATACACCAGAGCCGCTGCAACTCCGCCGTAAATTTTGCCAAAGAAAGGAACTCAAAAAGTTTGTACAGCATGGAATCTTGGTGGAAATATAGAGAACACCTCTTTGTTAAACACAATGACATTAAAAAACTCATATCCCACTGTCATTGAGTCATTCCTGCAGGAATTCCTGCAGAATTTCCTGCAGGAAAGAAATTCTTGCAGGAATTCCTGCAGGACATTCCTGCAGGAAAGTGTCTTCCTGCAGGAATTCCTGCAGGAAGAATTTTTCCTGCAGGAATTCCTGCAGAATCTGCAGGAATTCCTGCAGGAAGAAAAATTTCAAAATGAATATTCATGAAAGTTATTATCATATTTGACAACTATACATCATACTTGTCAATCATATATAAAGACTTTGTACCAAGTGCTTTTATATTGAAAATATGACCACTTGTCAAAATGGGAAAAGTGGAATTCCAAACTTATATTGGAGACTGTTTTATATGACCTTGAACCCTTGAAAAGCGGCCGCAGCCGAAGTGTAATTTTCAAGGTTAAATAAAGGTTAAAAAATGTTTGGCCATGCCCACTTTAATCATGATTTGCCAGTTATACACATTTAACAACATAAAAATCTTCCAGATATATTACAAAAGGTTTAGATTTAATCATTTAAGAATCTTTAAATTGATAATTACTATATAATTACATGGACTTGCTTTTACGAAATTCCTCGTACAATAAAAAATTGTTCCTGCTAGAATAAAAATTGGACTTCAGATGTGTGATAGTGCGAACTAATGTACTCAATCAGCCATACATGTACATGTAATGTTACGTGTGCTAAGTAAATAAATTACCAGATTCGTATATGATGATTGTATAATTAGTTAACGTTACATGTACTAAGTTTTTCATCCTCAAGCAGATACAAAGTCTTGCTCATTCTCAGTCTTTCATGCCAGCTTTTGCAAGTATTTTTTCTTTAGCTCAAAATTAATTTTTCTTCCTATTGTCCCAGCACTGTCCTAAAAATAACTTTCAATTGTTCCGAAGTGAGGATGAACTGTCCCAACCTGTTTTTTTTTAGACAGGAAATTCAGGGGGGGGGGATTTTCTGGCTACAAAAGCTGGGACGTGTGCCTGATAAACAAATTAAAGAAGGGTTGACATTCTGATGCTGAATATTTTTATATTGTCCCCCAAATGTCTCAAAGTGTCTTTTTAGCTGTCCAAGCCTAATTTTCGTGGTCTGTGGCCATTGGACCACCTTTGATTTTGAGCCCTGCTTAGTATTGAAACTTGGTAAGAGGAGGCAAATTACTAGTAATCATATAATTACAATCAAAAAGAGCCCATAGATCTAGTTATAAAAAAAGGCGTACATTTTGTACTATCATGTAAGACACAAAATATGAGCCAGACTCTTGCATCCAAGTCTTGGAGATTAAAAGCTTCACCATAATCCGTTTAATTTTGATGATCACTGGAAATTTACCACTGTGACAGTCTTCTCCAAAACAAATTCAAACTTTCAAACTCTCCAGATGGCAATTTTCCCATCCTTGGAGCCTGACCCAGTCATGATGTATCTGTCGAAGGCGGCACACATGGAGCGTATGGCGTCCTCGTGTGCTACCAGCTCCTTCTCCTCTGTGTACGTGCCTTGGTTAAAGATATGGATGTTTCCACACTTTCCACCCACCCAGATCTGGAAAGTACAAACACGTGCTATTTAGATATATTAAACAGCAATGTTACCCAGTATTAATAAAGCCCATCACACATACATGTAGCCAAATACGGCCTCCCAAACACCCCCAACCTAGGTTAGGCCACACCAATTTAATTTCTTGGTTAACGGATTTTTCTAGAAAAATAATGGAGCGGGCGGGCAAAAAAATAAAATAAAATAAAAACAGGCCTAGGCATCCTCTTATGGCCCAAAATGGTACAATAGGAGCCATGAAGTCAACACACCAGGCTGGTTCAAAATTTAAACAATGAATTTTGAACTTTTAATGATACCATTGCATTGAAAGATGTAATAACTGTAACAACTAGGAGGAAAGGGACACTGTTTTCAACTGTTCAGGGCAAAATATGAGCATTTTGCAGTTGATTCTGAATTTTTATTTTTATTTGCAAATCAGAAAAAAATGAAGCGGGCGAATCCGTTAACCAAAAAATTAAATTGGTGTGGCCTTAGGAGTACAAAATGTAGGTTAGGAGTAATTATATATATAAGGCACAACATGACATACATCTCTGTGATGTATGACAAACAGTTTTGGCGAGCTAACTTTGTATGCTCCACCTCTACGGAGGATGACAGATGATGATGATGAGGAGTAAGGTCAGCTGTGATTGGCTGGTGTTTGGCTGCACCAGTCAAATTTTGCATCATAGACGTGAGGTTGGGCCATGGTCCAGGCCCACCTCTGTTCAGACTGATCCCAACATTCCACCAACCTTTCTGTTTGGTGTTTGGGGGAAAGTTCCGAATGTGTGACAGGCTTTCAAAACTTGCTGCTTCCTTGACTACCTACAAGCTACATGTATACTGGATATGTTGGGAAATTTACATCTTCAAACATTTGAGAGGGAAAAGGAGGTTTTGGTAGCATTTTTGAAGTTTGTGGTTGAAACGAGTCTGTTGTACAGTAGAATAACAAAACAATAAAAACCACTTCATGATTTCTTATTGAAATGTACAAAATAGTGATTCTTAGGGTCGAAAAATTTCAGGCACACCTTCCATATTCTTTAGGATTTAACATGTCACTAAGTAATAATGATTACCAATAAATGACAGCTTAATTGTCACAGAAAGTTATCGAAAATTTATGCACTTTAATAACTTAAGATATTAAAATATATGAAAACAATGCAATTTTTGGTGAGGCAAAAACACAGGAAGATCAGAATGAGCCAGGTTCATGATCAGGGGTGCCAAAAAATTTATCAATTTTACGGAATTCATACGATCCTTACTATACGAAGTTTACGGAATACATAGAATTCTTAGTAATTAACTAGAAACATACGAAGTTTACGGTATATATGATCAGTTACTAGAAACATACAAATTTTACTGAAAACATACGATCCATTACGGCGTTCTGGAGGTTACATTCATTACTGTTGAACATTTTGTTCAGCGAAGGTGACTAAAAATGACAGCAAACTCCCTTCTTCTTTTCTTAGAAAGCCAGAAAACCTGCTATATAAAAGTCATCAAAATGGCAAGGTCTTGTCTTGTATGTGGCTCTATCTAAACTTCATGACTGTCTAAGTTGAGCGGTAACGGATGTTACAGAACTTGGCGACAGGTACATGTATGAACCACCTCGCATGACGTACAAGAATAGTGCCAGGAGCGATCTGACTTTGATCAGTCAGAGGGCCTGGCTATCTGTCTTCAACAGCCACCAAACCACACAGTCGCGATTAAAAAATGCTTCATTTTAGGCGGCTTTTAAAAGTTTTCATGTCTTCTCAGGCGACAGCCGCTTTTTAGGGGGAGAAATCCAACCCGTGGCCATAATTTCTTCCAAGGCATCAATCAAACCTAGAGTTGCGGTACATTTTTCGTGAAACATACAATGTAGAAGGTGTAGTAGGGAAGTGAAGAAAGCAATGATGAGGTTTGTGATTTGGCTCATATCTAGTCATAAGGGTGGTCACAGCATTTTGTACATTTGAATGAGAATGAGTGAGATGGAAGAAGTGGAAGAAGATGTATCCAAATATTACTATCTGGAAGTTCCTGATTCACTACAACAAATCAACCGGATGGAGTTCACTTATCTCATATTAGCCATATGGTCCAGGACTCCAGGAAGAATAGTGTGAATATCATGTCACACAAATAGATATCCTAATCCAACAAAGGAATATTGGCTGGTGTACTGACCTTGCCGTGTGTTTGTACCATCTTGCTCAAGCCTCGACATGACACACTGATGTTCTTCACCACCCTGTAGCTCTGACTGTCCCACACTGTCAGTCTGCCCTGGTTCCCACTGCCTGCCCACAGCTGTATGTAACACAACAATTCATCTTTAACCTTCTCCCTGCTAAGTCCCACACTGTCAGTCTGCCCTGGTTCCCACTGCCTGCCCACAGCTGTGACACAACAATTCATCTTTAACCTTCTCCCTGCTAAGTCCCACACTGTCAGTCTGCCCTGGTTCCCACTGCCTGCCCACAGCTGTAACACAACAATTCATCTTTAACCTTCTCCCTGCTAAGTCCCACACTGTCAGTCTTCCCTGGTTCCCACTAGCCTGGTTACCAAACCTATAGCTCTCGAGTCCTACATCCTCTCCGCAAATAGAGGATATAGGGCTCGGGAGCTATAATAGGTTTGGTAACCAGGCTATAGAACACTGGGGACACAGTTAAGGTAATAAATAGTTCCTTACCATTCCGTCTTGAGAGAGGAGGAAACATTCTATCTGTAGAGGTGAGTCTCCTTCATCTGTCATTTGGAGGGTGTGGAGCGTCTGGCCTTCTCTGTCTACTAACAGCAGGGCACTTTTTGTACCTGCAGGGATGAGGTATATGTGTTCTATTGAAATCATTGAAACATTAGGACTAAATGATGTAAGTTGAAGCTTGGTCACCATATGACAAGATAAACTATTTTCACATTTTTCATGAAAACTAACTGGTTTTGGTACCAGTGGTTCTACTACTTTTTTTTTTAATTAGTACCAGGGGAAACAGCAGTTCTATACTCTCAGTACCAGGGACAACTGTTATAGCAGTTCTTTACTTTCAGTACCAGGGACATCACCAGTTCTGTACCTCCAGTACCAGGGACAACAGAAGGTCTATACTTTCAGTACCACAGAAAACAGCAGTTCTATACTTTTAATACCAGTTACAACTTACAGCAGTTCTGCACTTTCAGGACTAATGACAACAGCAATTCTTTCAGTACCAGGGGAAACAGCAGTTTTATACAAGTCTTTTAGTACCAGGGACAACAGCAGTTCCACAGTCTCTCAGTACCAGGGGAAACAGCAGTACTGCACTTTCAGTACCGGTGACAACAGCAGTACTTTCAGTACCAGGGGAAACAGCAGTACTGCACTTTCAGTACCGGTGACAACAGCAGTACTTTCAGTACCAGGGGAAACAGCAGTACTGCACTTTCAGTACTGGTGACAACAGCAGTACTTTCAGTACCAGGGGAAACAGCAGTACTGCACTTTCAGTACTGGTGACAACAGCAGTACTTTCAGTACCAGGGGAAACAGCAGTACTGCACTTTCAGTACTGGTGACAACAGCAGTACTTTCAGTACCAGGGGAAACAGCAGTACTGCACTTTCAGTACTGGTGACAACAGCAGTACTTTCAAGACCAGGGGAAACAGCAGTACTGCACTTTCAGTACCGGTGACAACAGCAGTACTTTCAGGACCAGGGACAATAGCAGTTCTATACTTTAAGTACACTTGAGAAACAAAAATTCTATACCTTTAGTATCAGGGGAAACAGCAGTTCTGTACTTTCAATGTGGGGACAGCATCAGTTCAATACTTTTAGTACCAGGGACAACTGTTAACAGCAGTTAAATATGTACTTTTAGTACTGTCACAGCAGTTCTGAACTTACAGCACCAGAGGTTCTGTCCCACCAGTTTGATGGACACCAGTCTCTGGACGTTCTTCAGCCAGATCTGTCCCCGCTTCTGCAGCGTAGCGGCGCTCCACAGGAGGATCTGTCCGTTCAGACTGGCGCTGTATACCGTGCTGAAAACCTCTGATGGTTAATATTCATACTTCCATTGACAGTTATGGGTTAAAGTTAGACATCCACTACTATGCCTGGCCCATGGACTGCCTATTTCTAATCTAATCAAAAATATGTAGGTTCAAGCTGTATTTTGATATATCAAAATCTAAAATTGATATAACTGTAGAACATTTTAAGCATTTTAAAAGCAGAATAATAAGGAACATTTCTCATTTATGCTTACTGAACAATGCTCACTTATCCCAGTGGCACCATGCGTTGATCATTGTAGGACCAAGGACATTATACACAGTGTATAATGTCCTTGGTAGGACAAATGATTTTTTACTGTGTATATTGGTCCTGCAGTACTACCTTTAATCAATAGGTGGCACAGCTGTCCTTTGGGCAGAAAAAACCCTGCCTTTGCTTGTGTTTCACATCAAGCCAGGAACATTTACCAGAAGAAATAAGACCCTTACCTCCCATCTTGTGAAATGGTCAAGTCGGAGACCATGTCCACATGGTCCAACAGTTGTTTGTTTGCTGTGTGTGTGTTTATGTCGATGACATAGATGGTTGTATCGAAGGACCCTGCCCAGACTTGTTCTGTACCCACCGACAATAAACAACACTGAAAAACAAACCAATTTGGAACACTGTAACTATTTTTTAAAAAACCGAATTTAACATCATTTTTCCCCAACTGGGAGTTAGACGTCCTTGCACCAACTCTTTTTTTGAAGCAGGATTTTTACGGCTGGATGCTCTTCCTAACGCCAACCCAAACCCTAGAAGGGCCCAGGAACCCTCTAACTGAGGGGGGAAATGCCTTTCCCAAGGGCACAACGTCTGGGTGCATATCCGGACATGTATGGGTCCAACCCTGGGGATTGAACCTGGGTCTTCTTGCTTGACAGTCGGATTCTCTGTCCACTACACCACACAGACGCCACCATATTACTAAGCATAATATTGAAAAAAAATTAGAGACTTTCTGAATTCCCCCTCTAATTCCTATTGGCTGCCAGATTCTGACAGCTTTGTCCTTCTCTTGTCTGTCTGTCAATCTTCCACCACCCATGTACTGTCAACCTACTCTGACAGCAAAAACAGATGCTCAAACCCACAGTTCCGCTTAAGGGCATTCTTCCTGTGGCTGAGCTGGGATCTCGGGTGATATGAAATGCACCGTGTAGTTTTCTATATATAATTATGTCAATTGTACCAAGTTTGGAAAATTACATATTTTGCTATACTGAGTAATTTAATGCTCCTCATGAATATGACAAGAAGTTTGAATAAATGCGTTTAGTATACAAATATACGTGTAATAGCATTATTATAGCTAACTGTAACATTACAGTGAAAGGTTTTGGATGCAGTTACCTTAAATATTTCCTGAAAACTTCCAACTTTTTACAAGAGACAAACATGTGCCACTGGATAATGTTCCATGCAGGTAAATAGATAACAAAGTTAACATGATTAGGTTTAAGTCTTACCACTCTATTGTTGGCCTGTATGAACTGTTGGTCACAGATCCAGGTACTGGCATCGTACACTTTGACCTGACCTGACCCCATGGCACACCACAGCTGGGGGGAGCTTCTGTTGTCACCTTTACTGTTGTCTGCAGTTACAACAAAAATCATTCTAAGTCTGACTCAGTGTTCTAGCCTACTCTCCAAGCAGAGGTTTGGGTTTTGGGGGTATTTTTAGCGTGTTTTTAGGCTTTTTTATCGGGGTTTCTCTTTTGCACTGAATTTTTTTCCCCACCAAACCCAACCTCTGCCGGCAGTCGAAAGTGTCAATGGGCTATAAACCTAATCACTTCAACACATGTCAGTCGTTCTGCAAGGAGGTGTGAACCAGATGCATGAATAGGCACAGTCAGCAGGAGGCGTGTGGCCGAATGAATGCCTTTCTGACTGGCTAGATGTGTGATAATCCATGACAGTAAAATGGATATCCCTAATGATAATTTGATGGTTCCCGGGGAGGAGCACTGTCACCTTTCTTGAATAGGTTTGCCCCGCCCCGGGGTGAGTGCCGACAGAGGTTGGGTTTGGTGGGAAAAAAATTCAGTGCAAAAGAGAAACCCCGATAAAAAAGCCTAAAAACACGCTAAAAATACCCCCAAAACCCAAACCTCTGCTTGGAGAGTAGGCTAGCCAGCCCGTCTTTCCATCATTTGTGATAACTGAATTTTGCCGGTCGTGATGGACAAACATTTTGCCCAATCTGTTGTCTTTGGTAGACAAGACTGGTCATTAAACTAAGGTTAGACCAATATGCTCACCTTCATCCCTACAAAATGACTTGAACAACCTAGACAAATGGTCGGATAGAAACCATATGCTTCTGAACCCCAAAAAGTGTAAAGTACTGCAAATCTGTTTCATGAAAACTCCTCCACCTGACCCGGTCCTAACGCTAGGAGGCCAGACGCTTAGTGTGGTGAAGCAAGCACGACTACTTGGTATTCAGATTCGTCGGATCTTGGATGGGACTCTCAAGTTGACAGTATGGTGTCTAAGGGAAGCAAACGCCTATTTTTCCTCTGTAGATTGCGGCGGGCTGGTCTCCCACCAGACGACCTCTGTGCTATCTACTGCGGATACGTTCGGCCATTCCTTGAATATGCGGTACCCGTCTGGAATGCTGCCCTTAACATTCGACAAGTCAACCGGCTTGAACGGGTTCAAAAACGGGCCTGTAGGATTATGCTAGGCCGTCACTACACTACATTACATGGATGCCCTGCAGACCCTGAACCTACAAACTCTGTCTGATCATAGACACGACCTATGCTTTAACTTTGCAACCAAAATCAGACAATCGTCATGTTTCCGCTCCTGGCTGCCATCGACTAAAGGACAACTACACGGTAGATCGCTAAGGAACTCTTTCCATTACTGCCAGGCCAAGGGCACTAAGCGCTACACAACCAGTGTGATCCCTGCACTAGCAAAACTCCTGGTTGGACTACAAACTTCTTAACTGAATCTTACCGCCAACTGTACATATCCTTAGCGCTTGTACCAGACTAACTTTTAAAACTTCAAAGACTTTCAGTTATTTTAATGTAGAACGACAGTAGTGATTTTATACTCGTGAGAAATTATATTGTTTTAATTATATTGCTATAATAATATGACTATCTACTAGTATTGTATAATCCTATAAGTTGTAAATATCAGCACAATTCAGTTTTTACTGCAAGTCTGATATGTTCATTGCTCTTTTCAATAAACCAATCACTACTAGACCACCAGCAAAATTTTTCCCTCAAAATGCAGGAAAAAAATTTCATGGAGGACTATGCCCCCAGACCACACACACGAGGCCAAAACGAGATGATGGATAAAAATTTCAGGCTGGCTGATCTACATTGTAAGCAATGAAAGCTAATCTCTTATATAATTTAAACTGCCCAGACATACATGTATATTGTCCCATGCATGCATCTCAATAAGAAACGACAAATGCAAAATAAAAATCAGACACTCTCTCGATCATTGGTCAAACCAAGACAATTTGACCACCCTGTCAATTTGTGATTACACCATTTCTCCACACTCACTCTACTGTACTGAAATGACTAGGATGTGGCTAGTGAATGACTACTGTACTGAAATGAGGGGTTGAAATCTCTCTTTAAAAAAGGACTCCTATACAGCTACTGATGCAACATGACCTGTTTGACATGTCTTTTTGCAATCTCGTTCTTTCTTGTGCAAGAGAAAAACACCAGCTGTCAAAAGGGTCATGAGACTAAAATGACTTTTGTATGAACAGCAAGTGCAAGATGTACAAGTGATACTCCCTCTGGGACAGACTGAACCCAACCATATCCACTCCAACCTAACCTAATCTAAGGGCCAGTTAACACAGACGCAAAAAAATCATTTGTCCCATGCATCGATCGTTGTAGGACAAATTATTTTTTTCTCTGTGTAAATTGGCCCTAGGGGCCATGCAGAAACACAGACACACACATACATGTATACCAAAAATAATACCTTCTTTTTTCTTAGAGGTAACAAAAAGCAAAGCCTCCATACACAGACTGAGGAAACTGAAACTCTTCCTTACCTCCTGATGTGTAGAGAAGTGCTTCAACAGTGTTCCTCACAGTCTCATCCTGCGACGGGTTCACTCTCTGAATCAGAACCTAAAAACAGACCAAAACTCACGTCTTGCAATCTTCCCATCTTAACTTTGAACTAGAGACTGAAGTAACATTTGCAAAGCAAATGCATAATGTTTACCTTCGGACATGGTCTGCCCTGTTAACTTTTACTCAAACACATTCACATACATGTACTACGAGTATATGGTGACAGGAGTAGAGCAGACCATGAAATTGCAACATTATGTAACCCAACACCAGTCACCATGGTGGCAGACGTCAACAAATCATGTCATTGGCCAGGTCAGAGGTTAGTGTTTGAGACAGAAGAGGAGGAGGAAGAAACTGAGTAAAAACAATGTTTTCCTTTGGTAAACATAATAAAAGAAGCATTTGAATTTGAATTCATTGCAAGAGTTTAAAGAAACAAAGACTGACATATTTAGAGAGTGATGAAACAGCACTGTTGCCTGTCCCTACCTCAGTTGTTTCCTGAGGAAGTTTGTCTTTCCCCTCTTTGCGTCTCTTAGTGAAGTAGCAAAGATTCTGTAGAGAAGCATAGGAATTGGAAGGAAAACTTTATCAGGTGTTCTAACACTAGATAAACATGAAATGCTTTAAATTTAAAAAAAGCTGGCCGGGGCCAAGATGGGAATAGCTGGTTGGATGACATGTGATGATGATGATGAATCAAATTTAAATACTTAGCTTGATGACTTGAATTGGACTAATGCTCATAAGACTGGATTATACACAGCTTATAATTGTAATGAAATGTGTCATGAGGTCTTTCTAACAGAGAAGAGATACTTGCTGTAATAGTTTATTGGTGTTTACTAGTATGTATGTGCAGAGACTTGCATCAGAACTCAGACGCTTTAAGCGTAAAACAAAGAATAAGTACATGATGTAGAAAAAGATTCTTCTTCATGGTCTTACGAGACCGATGGAATGCCTACTGCTACTAGTACTGTAACATGTATGTGCAGTTACTTATTGTTTCAATTGTCCAGTCTTTCCCTGCTGAATGTTTTTCTGCTTGAATGTTTTTTTCTGTACTGTATCTGTACTGTATCTGACACCCAAACATTGAACAAAGCTGGCAAAAATCTACTCAGTCAAGTACCATGATTAGATACTAGCTTTAAACAACGTTTAGAGTTAGATGTTGAAGGGTTAGGTGTAACAAGTTTTTCAGTGTAATGTAGCCAGCTGCTGCTGCGCCAAAGGGCAGTTATACCGGCTATACAGATACAGAGAATACAATTATTTTAGTCTCATTTGGGACTGCATCTTTCCAACTGCAGTGCCACCTAGCAGTGGGAGGTAGAACTGCAATCCACTGTACAGAAGACCAATTTTATACACTGAGAGTCACTTACTTCAGCAGCCTTCTCCACTCCATCAAAGTGAGCACACTCCTCATAATCCCCACTCAGGACTACAGCGTTGATGAGCAGGACGTTCTGGGCAGCCTGGTGGACAACCTGAGAGTCTTTGGTTCCTACAGATACATGTAATACATTGAAGACGAATTCCACGTTATGATGTCATGTCCAACATATGAAGAAAAACAGACAAAAAGTTGAATCAGATGCAATCCATAGCTTCCAAAACTTACAAATGTAAATGTTACGCTTCCTCTCTCAAAATCAGATATCTTTAATATGCTCCTTTCATGTCTTACTCAGATATCAGTGTACGTTGGAAAATTCATATTTGAATCACTACAAAAGCGACACCATATTGTAAATAGCTGATATATCTCCTGAATTACAGAATGTAATAATACTCTTCCTAAGAAAACACCATAGATTAGCTTCAGTATCATTATGGACTAGCCCGTTAGAATTATATCTTAGTATTAGTTTATGTAATAATATGTACCATTGTTGTTTCTTTGCCATACATTGTACCAGCTACAGTTGTTGAGCAATAAAGTTGATTTGATTTGATTGTACACATGTAACATCCGTGTCCATAATATCACCAGGGTCCATTATATCACCACCTTGAGAAACAGTGTGCTTTAAGATATTTTTACTGCAACATACTTTTGGTATGTACTCCTTCACACATCACAATGTACATACCTAGGGTATGTTGCAGTAAAAATATCTTTAAGCACACTATTTCTCAATTTTCTCAATATTATGGACTATGGTGATATTATGGACACAGATGTTAATACTACGTAGTCCATGATTGATTATTATGAACTATTTATTCAATTGTGAGAAACAATTGAGTTTTGCCTGAAGTAAGGCCCTGTTCATGATTCAAAATGTGCTTTGGTTTGGCCACAAATTGAATTGATAAGGAATACATTTTGGGTCCGTGATTCAAATATTCATAGATTCAAAGATTCATATGATTTTCATCATCATCATCATTTTAAAACATGATTTACGTCTATCCCATTGGCAGCCTGTTATCCCCCCTCACTAAATATCAAACAGTCCCTTACAACAGTGGTACAGTGGTACAACATGTAAATCTAACCACACACACACCCTCTGCGATGTTCCTGCCACACCACAGCTCCTGCACCAACATGAACCACTGGTTCCTCTCCTCCTTCAGGATGGCTGTGAACGGACTCTGATCATCCACTGTATGAGAAGGGGGGGAGGGGGATAATGACAATTGCTGCTACAGACAAATATAGTTGTTTACTCATGACATTACAACTTTTAATAAACTACATGTAGAAAGGCATCATTTGTAAACTAAATACAAAATACAATGTACCTTCATTTGATCTAGCCCGACAACTACTGCTGTTTATTCTTATATATTACAAACACATTCATACATTGTACAATCAAGTATAATATGGTGACCAGCCCCTATACAACTTGCCACATAATGCAATCCAACACCATAGGGTGTCTGACACAGGTTGACTAGTATTTAGAAAAGACTTTCTTGTAACAGCCGACAAGATGTCAGTGCCAGATTAGTAACCCTGACCTTTGCTGTATATCTTGAGAGCGTCAGCAGATGTTAAGACAGTGTTGTACTGGAACTTCTCCAGGTTCTTAATGTCTCGGATACGTACAACCTCCTCAGTCCTGTCTCCTGTCCTAAACAGTAGCCTGAGAAAAAGTATTAAAGTTTATTTCAAGGATGACATAATGTCACCTACAAACCCTACATCTTTGAGATTAAAATCAAGGGATTTTGAATACAATTTTTCTTAAACTATGACAACTTACTTATACATTCAAGTAATTGTGAAATCTAACAAAAACTAATATATTACATTTGTATCATAATGAAAAATGAAATAGAGAGAGGTCAGAGGTACTTATTTACATGTACACCATGTGTATTATCACCATGTGTACTTTTTACTTTTATTATATTTTCTTCAAAAGTGTGACTGTGTGTTTCCAGATGTCATGTGAGAAGGTACAGTGTTGTATGTTTTTACACTGAGTCTCCTACATTTAAATTATACATTCAAATGTTCTTGTTTTAGCTTTTTTTGTTTGGCCTGAGTAAACACCCCTCTCAATTCTGTCACCAAACTGGTACGACCATGTTGTTACCTCTTGTGGGTGAGAATGAGCCTGCCAGTGCCCAGGTCACAGCGGATCAGCCTGGACACTTTTAACACCCCTTCTTCACGAGTGAGACAGTCCTCAGGGAGTTGACAGGCCACCCTGCTGTTGTCCAGCTCTGTCTGGAAAAAACAGGAAATAACATCCATATTTGCATAATTATCACATAATTACATAAAGCATCATGAAAGCTACCTACATACCAAAAAATCACGACGATCCGTCAACCGGATCTTGAATTATCGTCTTTTGAATATTTTCAAACAGATAGCCCTGCAGTTCCAGAGCAAGCCGCTGGGGGGCCCAAACTCACATCACTTCTTCCCCAGCACAAGAGCTACCTACCATCCAAATGTCGTCACCCTAGCATGTCTAGATCACGAGATATCAAAACAGGAAATTCAGCTGCAGTACCTTAAAAAGCCGCTAGATTGTGTAAAAAAAGAGTCTCTTTATTTAGTGGCTTACCAACCTGATGAAACTATTCACGTAACACTGTGTAACATACAGTAATATTACCACAGTCAATATTACCACAGTCAACATTGGATTTTAACATATTAGCATTACTACTGACAGAGGCAAAAATGTGATGGTGTAACATTATTATAACATTTATTGCACAAGTATTATATAATGTGTAAATACTATTTACCAAGTTACCCACAAAAAATGATGTCACTGACTCATTTCAAGTTTCAAGACTTTCTAAGAATAAGAAAGTGCAAAACAACTCAGACTGTTCTGACACCATCTATTATTAGTCAAACCAAGGACATTATACAATGCCCTTGCTCAAACTCACATTTTGCTGTGTCTTGAAAAAAAAGACAATGAAGAATTCACATCACGTTTACTACATGCATGACTGCTGTACAAAGCAATCCAACTAGTTTGACTTATGACTACCAAAATATGGAAAAAAATCATTGAGAAAAAAATCTTCATTCATAACCAAAGAAAATGCCTTAAATCTTACAAAAAAATAAAGCTATACAATTTATGTTTAACTTACTTCCTTCCAGCAGTCATAGAATATGGAAAATGTGTCCGGATCAAGATCTGCAAAGAGATAATATTACTGTAACATTAATATCAATTTAAAACTTTTCTTCAGCAATGTAACTTTGTCACACAATTGTCATTATTACTTACTACATGTAATTGTACTTGCACTAAATATAGGAAAGATAAAGAAACATGTTCCGTACAATTTGTGTCTTGGAGTGTCAGGGACTGGAAAAGTCTCTCTATAACCTCACTGTCCACAGCGATGTCCAGTAGACGGATATGTTTGCTAAACTCATGGAGGTCTGAAAAATGTCAAACAGGAAGTAAGGTTAGGATTATTCTCTGTAATGTCTACTAGCATAATTCTACCAGGTCAAAATCATATGTCTGCCATCTTGAAAAAAGCATCATAAGAGATCCCCTAATATGCAACACCCACGTATTACCTACGACAGTGACAGGGCTAATGTTATCTTCATACATGGCAAATATCTTCTTAATCTTATTACTACTGTCACAAAACCCTCTCGGGTATAACGTCCAGGGGAGATCTTGGTGCACGCCCAAGTACGGCCGGTGGTGGAAGTGCTCATAACAAAGTGAAAAATTCTGTACAAGGTGCCAAAAATAAAGGAAAAAGAAAAAGTGATTGCCGTCTTAGCATGATGTATATTTTACTCAGGTATGGGGTGGCCCATATATCGGGCCAACCCCATTTTGAAGTCCGGGAGGTAATATATTAGAAATAACCTGTCAAACATCACCTACCAGAGTTTTAGATACTGAAAAACACACATTGACAGGGTAGTCTGACCTCTAAATTATCGAAATCTAGTCCAAAATTCTTGAATTTTATATTGCAAAACATGTCTCAGTTCTGATTAGTGTATGGGGGTTACAGTCAAACTTCTGCACAAGGACCATCTGGCAAATTGAATGTGGTTACTTTTTGGTGGCTCCTTTGATTATAATTTGATCCAAATGGGGTTATTATGTCCATTTTCTTCAAGTCCCTTGAGTTGCTAACAAGGACAGAATTGTAAAGTCCCTGACTCACCCACGTCCCTCTGAGGCAGCTGGTCAAAGTCCAAGGCGATAATCAACCCTTGACCTCTGTCGACCTCCGTGCTCATCCGGCGCAGTTTTCCCAGCATGGTTTTCCGCTCCATGGGCCCGCCCTTGTACAGACCCTTCTGTTCCAACTGACTCCTCTCCACCTCACTCAGACTGTTTATGATACTCTGTACATGTCTGCAACAATACAAGCTTCCTGTACTCCAAAACATCTTATTTCATCATGAAAGTTCATCTGTGTTGGTAGTTACATGTTTAAAGTTAAAACTTTTGGTCCAACACAAAAAAAGTTCTCTCACCTACAGCTTTCGACCAGTCACTCCGGTCTTCCTCAGTAGACTGACCCAGTGAAGCTTGTCATGTGGTTTCTTTGAAGTGTGATCTCTACCAGATACCTTTGACCCAGTGTTGACGTCACATTTCAAAGGAGCCACTTGACAAGCTTCACTGGGTCAGTCTACTTAGGAGGACCAGAGTGACTGGTCGAAAGCTCTAGGTGAGAGAACTTTTTGTGTTGGACCAAAAGTTTTAACTTTAAACGAGAAGAAAACCTGTTTTGTTTGTGTGAAGAATACATAGAATAGCTAGTACTGACTCTGCTGGGAAGAGCTTGACATCAGCTGAACAGAGGTTATGGAAGTCCTCCAGGGCAGTCATAGATGCTCCTTTTGCTGCGTACACCATTCCTCTCAGGTACAGGTAAGGTGCACGGTCAGAGGGTTCACAGCTCTGCAAGCATCAGACATTGCATTATATATATTTAACTGATATTGCAGATGGGACATGCTGTGTGCAGTTTGACAATAACAACATTTCAGCACCATGGAGAGGTAAACACACTGGTTGGCAGTAGTAGTCAAATTTGGTAATTTGCAGTAATTTTAATAGGTAATTTGTAGTAAATTCTGGTAATTGTATAATAACTTGATGAAACAGTCTGAGAGATATTTGCAAAAGAAAACCAACCTTTATTTTCTGACAGTTTCATCTATAGATGTGTGTAATGCATCAATACACATTATGTACAATGTATACACATTAATTTTATACAATTAGTATCTAATTAAAGAAATTAAAAAACAATGTGGTACCTCTAAATAGTTGGTCAGTTTCTGAATGCAGCTGTCATAGAAGTAGGCTGTAGAAGTGGGCAGAAAAAACAGCTTAGTACTTTATAACTAGTATTGACAAAAGTACTGTGGAACAACTTTTGATCTAACATTTTGTCAGTTCTACTAATTGCTTCAAAGTTCTAAACACAGAGTAAAGACTTTGTCTCACCAGCAGTTGTTTTGTCTGTCATCCTGTGAGACTGGGTAAAACTAGGCAGTTGAAAGGTACTGTTGGGGCCATTGACCTCTAGGCCAAAGTTCACGACCCCTGACCTCCGGTTCTTCTGCCCAGGAGAGGTGGCACTAATCTTACGCCTCCTGCAATAAGAAAAACAGAAAGAAACATTTTGCAAAGCAAATGTATGATGTTTACCTTGAAGTTCATATTATGCTAACAAACTTCTGATCTGATTATCATGAAAGTTCATCTGTGTTGATAGTAATCATAGTAAACAGTTGAACTTTATTCCAACACACAGATTATACAGAGATCAAATTGTCAGCAACCACTGTCGCCTTCATCAGGATAATTAATGACCAATCAGGTCATTAAGGTCACTGTTTGGAGAAGAGGAAGAAGAGGAAACGAAGCAAAAACGATATGTTTAGTAATACCAAAAAAAACAATATGTTTTCCTTCAGTGAACATACTACATACCTACTCGTAGTTTAAGCTGGAGGTGGTGTGTTTGATGATGGCCACATCTTGAGCATGTTAAAGATCCACTGCACTTATATAGTAGTATTCAAAAGAGTGGGGGTCCTTCACGGTGCAAGTGGTTCAAACCTTACAGTGTGGTCTTACACAGCTAGTATTTACTGTACAAAACTGGTGTGTTTGTTTGTTTTGCATAACCGGTAAACCGTCTTTAGGCATAACACACCAGTTTTGTACATGTACGTACATGTACAAGCCGCGTAAGACCGGACTGTAAGGTTTGAACCACTCACACCAGGAAGGTCCCCTACTCTTTTCAATAAGTGTTGTGGGTTCTTTTACGTGCGTGGGGTGTGGCTCTCCCAAACACAGGACCTCTATTTTACGTCCTATCCGAGGGACGTCCCTAATCGAAGCTAGGTACTCATTTACACCTGAGTGAAGTAAAAATGGAAAGTCATGTAAAGTGCCTTTCCCAAGGGCACAAGATCGGTAAGATGGGTGGGGATCGAAACTGGGACCTCTTGGCCCTGAGCCAAACGCGCAAACGCTGCGTCACACGACCCTACCAAACGTTGTACTAAAACAGACACACAAACCTGATGAGTTTGTTATCAGGGTTGTCAGTCATCTGCTCCCCCTGCCACTGCATAGTTTCTTCCATGATGGAGTAAAAGTCTCTCTTCTGGTCCATCCTGTCCTTCAGAAACCTCTTAAACATGTGGGACTGGCACACCTGCAGTAAGAGTGGGTATTTCAAACTCTGCATGATCAAGCCTGTATGTTATGTAATGTACATGTTGTACATACCTGAAGAGTGGGACCATAGTCTGTAGGAAGGTGACCTGCACGGAATCCTACGGATTTGGGAGCACGCAGACACGCTGTAGAACTTTAAGTGTGTGTAAAACTTTTTCTGCGTGCGGTCTACGGATTCACCACCCGTGCGTGTGAGTACGAGCGACGCGCGTGCCCCGAACGTGCCGTACGGAAGAAGCACGTGTGAGTACGGCCTCCTTACGGTAAAGTTGCAATCGCACAGAGATCGTACGTTGTAAGCACGTACTACTCACTTACCACTTGCGCAACGTACGATGCACGCAACCGCTCACAGCCAGACGTAGCTTGCAGACCACATTCTTACACCTTGCGAAACCGTGCGAGTGACGTGCGTCGATGCCACTCCTTCCCCACATTTTCAGAAAAAACGTAGCAGACGTAGCCTCCAAAAACAAACCCACGGACAAAAAGCACGTATGGCGGGGTGTGACCGTAGCTTAACCGAAGCTAGGTACTCATTTCCACCTGAGTGCAGTGAGGAAAGTCGTGTGAAGTACCTTTCCCAAGGGCACAAGATCGGTGACATGGGCAGGGTTCGAACCCGCGACCTCTGGGGTGTCAGCCGAACGCGCTACCGAATGCGCCACACGACCCCACTCAACTGCCAATTAACTTCAATTTGATTCAAATGGATCCTTGCTTATATAATCAAGCACCCATTCTTGGCTGATTAGCACGATAGTCAACATTGACAACAATAGACCAATGCCAATTGTTCATTATAAATAGCAGTTCAACAGATGATAGCAAGGCTAATTTTACTAAGATAGTGGCTGCATGCCTACCTCTTTGAAAAATGGTTTGTCCCCTTCTTCCTTGTCTTCTAAGAACTTGTCTTTGTTTAAATACCTGCGCTGGTTGACTGTGCTCACATACTCCTTCACATCTCTGAAACCCGGAACAGCGATTGTTAGATTCTTACTGCGAATACATGATTGTACATGAAACCCTTGATAATAAAATGTACTTTGGCAGAATGCCTTGTTCAAGATTGTATTTGCATATTTAAGGATGACATCCGATCCATAGTTTCCATGTGTGTGTGTTTGTGTGTGTGTGTGTTTGTGTGTGTGTGTTTGTGTGTGTGTTTGCCTGTGTGTGTGTGTGTGTGTGTGTGTGTGTGTGTGTTGTGTGTGTGTGTGTGTGTGTGTGTGTGTGTATGTGTTGGAAAAGATGTAAAAACTCTGAGGCAACATTGACCAAAATTCAAAACGAAAAATAAAAAATGTTTATTTGTGCAAGAATTTTTCAAGTAAAGTTTGTAACTTTGCCAGATGCTTTCGGATGCCCTAATTTACTGGAAGGTGTGGCTCCTACATGTACAAGCACAGTAGACAATTTCCAATTGAAGCCGCTTATAAAATCAGAAGCAGTAATCGGGCTGTTGTAAACTTGAAAAGCCTTAAAGGTTAATTGGTATGCAAAAAAGAATACCAGTAACTTGCACACTGGGCAGCCTGGCGTTTCCAATACATGTACATGTATGAGCATACAGGACATAACTTCCATGGTGGGAGTTTGAGAGTGGGTATTTTAAACTCTGCATGATCAAGCCTGACTTACATTTGTACAGGTACTAGGTATGTTATTATGTAATGTACATGTTGTACTAGTGCTGCATACCGGTTCACTGGACTTGAATCCGGACTTGTATAATGTTTAGGTTCAAGTCCAAAAAAAACTAAAAGTCAAGAACCGAGTTCGGACTTATTACCATAAAAGACCATTTCACATACCCCTTTTCTTTCCAAAGCACCTAAAATCTTCCGTAGATTGCAAAATCTTTACTGCAAAATGATGAAAATATTGCCATCGGGCATCGTCAAGTACCGGCCTCCATGTCATGTGGCCAAAGTTTCAACCAGACAACATTGCAAGGTTGCCAACATGCAATTTTGTATATGCCATGGGTATAGGTCTGGACTTGCAAGTTCAGAACTGAACCTAAACCTCTGGACTTGAATCCGGACCTGAACCTAAAATTGGGTTTAGGTGTGAGGCACTATGTAGTACATACCTGAAGAGTCGGACCATAGTCTGTAGGAAGGTGATCTGTATGTTCCTGCTGAGCTGGTGCTGCCATGTCTCCCTGTGTTTGCGAGCCTCCTCCACAGATGTAGGTGTGGGGGAGTGCAGGTAGGAGAAGTCATACTGGAACTTCATGGTGCCACACCTGGAATCAGGATAAAACTTCTGCTTGTTTCCGATAACCTGTAAACGGTCTTCTAGGTGTAACACACAAGCTGTATAGGAGGGCCTGCATGGGGGGTTCCCGACAACGCTCTACGCTAAGTTTTGAGAGCCTGCTATGTATTATGGTACAGTAGTGATTACGCTTTACGATAAATTCCAAGTGCTACAACGCATTACATGGAATTAAAACGCGAATTACGCTCTACGCAAAATGTGCCAATAACACTCTACGTTGAAATAGAGCAGTCCATCTACACTCTACGTAGAATTATAACGGCCGATTACGCTCTACGGAAAAGGGCATGCGGGCCTCCGAATAGGTGTGGTGGGATTTTAATCATGTGGCTCTCCTTACACTCAGGACCTCTGGCTTTATGTCCCATCTGAAAGGATGCCCCTAACCAAAGCTAGGCAGTCATTTTTTATAGGTTAAGTGAGGATAAAGGTGTCCCGAGGACACAAAAGTGGGGCCTGCCGGGGATTCAAACCCAGCACCTTCAGATTCTGAGTCAACAACCCTAAACCACAAGAGCACCTTACCACCTATTACCAGTAGTCAGGTTTGCCTAAGAGCACAAAACAAATCTTCATGGACTTGTCGACATCACAGTACTGTTATTTATAACTGTACAAAATTACAACATTCAGTTACTGTACAACAAATTATCACAATGAAGTTGACACACATGATATGAACAAACATTCTAGCTGCAATGTATGGATGACTGACATCGACCTTGAAAACAAGTTATATTCCAATGAAAGCTCATCTGTGTTGGTAGAATCCATAGTTTAGACTTCGTACTTGTTCCAACACAAGGAAGAAAGATCACCCTAAACTTTCGGCTGATCCCATCAACCTTCATCAGACGTGTGATGCAATCGCTGATCACTTTCCGGAAGCGTGATGACGTCAGGAGTGCATCAAAAGTGGCGGGAAGACGGAATCTCTCACCATCACGGTGGTGATGCACTCCTGACGCTTCTGACTTCCGGAAAGTGATCAGCGATTGCATCACACATCTAAAGAAGGTTGACGTGATCAGCCGATAATTTATGGTGAGTTTCTTCCTTGTGTTGGAACAAGTTCGAACTCTATATAAGTACAAATTATATTCCAGGCTATTTTTGATCATACTTTTCTTTGAAGAACTCTGCAGCTGCCCTGGGGAAACAGGGAAGTCCAGCGTTGTCCAGGACAGAGTCAGCCATGAAGACCTCCCCTGACTGGATGTCTGCTACCACAATCCCAGGAACCTGGAATGACATAATGTACAGAATACATCAGTTCATAACTCTTCTGCTTAAACAGAATTCAGGCTTTAGTTACTGTATAAATATCAAAGATCACAGCGCCTTATAGATTGAAATGAAAAAGTAAAACTCTTCTTCTCTACACAAGGTTAAAATTCGAAAATTCAAAACTCACCCAGATTGTTTCTGTCAACTTGGAAGCAGGAAAGAGTAAGAGTTAGGAAGAAATCAAAGAACATGGAAAATAGCAAGAGAGAGGTGAGGGAGAAAAACACATTGATGCAAAGCAGTTAAGTGTAACAGTTACTGTTAATATTATTGAAAGTTCACCTGTGTTGGTAGAAGTTATTATGAAGCAAGTTTAAACATTAATATCCAATACAAGAAATTGAACATATTGGACAACTCCAGTCTTTGTCAAGGAATGGGCAATCCACTCCTTCTGTGACATCACATTATGCACACATGACTCCGTGAGCAGTGGATCATAAGTTGCAGAAAGTCTGTGGCATCCCCAACTTTCTGAACACTTTCTGCAACCTACATATAGCTGCTATGATCCACAGCTCACGGAGTCATGTGTGTCATCTGCATAACCCTTGTCCTGCTGGCATTCCTGGCACAATATTTTTCAATAATTTCATGTCTTAATTAGATCATAGACCCTCAATTTTTTTTTCCTCTGCAGTGGCATAGTTTAACTTCCGCATTCGTTGCGTTTCGCGGTGGTGTGATGCGTTGCACAAGAAATACCCTCAAATCGTACCTATACAGAGTGCTATATAGATGGTACTGTATGTGCAGAACAACAGTTGTTGTGCTCCTCTGGACAAGGGATAATGTGATGTCACAGAAGCTGTGGATTGCTCAATTGGACATTTCTTTGACAAAGACTGTAGCTGTACAGTTAAAAGTGTGTTGGAAAGACTGACTGTACCTTGATGATTTTCTCCCTGTGTGAGACATGACAGCCCATCATGAAGACACCTGGAGCCTCCACCAGGTCCACCATGGAGCTGGACAGCACGGGGACGTAAACATTGTGCCACACAAACGGCTGCAGGTACGTCAGGAAACTCTGCACAAACACAACAAAGTTAACGTGTAAACAACACTATGTACCTGCAGATACGTCAGGAAACTCTACACAAACACAACAAACGTCTTAACAACACTATGTAGCTGAACATATACAGCCAAGGCTGCCCAACTACCTATTAAGGTAAAATCTTGAGGCTAATACAAGTCACTTTTCTTCTCTTCAGAATTATTACAGTTTTTCCATCTAACAATGCTAAATTATTAAAAGTCCAGCCTGGATGTTAACTTGCCTGGGTACCATCCTGGTTAGTTTACGTCTGTAGCAACTGTGGGAGCAGACGTAAACTAACCAGGATGGTACCCAGGCTAGATGTTAACCTCATGGTTCCTATAATAGCATTTGGAGTCATAATAGGATAGCCTAAGTCTGTTTTTATTCTTATATATTTCATCTTTTGCCCTGTTGCTTTTTTTCTGTTTTCTGTTTTTCCTGAAAAAAATCTGAGAAACCAACTAATCAAATAGGTGTGGCCTAATGATCTAACGCTGACTCACCTCCATGACTATAGTGAGGAGTGCGTAATCTGAGGCCAGGAATACGATTCTCTGCTCAGTCAGGATGCAGGCCACCAAGGTTAAAATGTTATCCAATGAGAAGCTGAGGAAGGGGTAGTGAAGCGGCATGTCCAGTACCCGCTGGTCCGGGTCCAGGGCTGGCGGAACCGTCACCGTGAACTTGTTTAGCTGGAACGACTGGTTTTAGTACAAATAAGAAGGTTATTTTGGATCAAAACTTTAAGTCTATTACAGGTTTTGTGTAAGCTGAGAAAGGGATAGTGCTAAACTGATCAGTACTAATTGGGTAACCAATAATCTGTTTTATCCTGAAAGTTCAACTTGGTAGTAATCATACACATAGTAGAAGGTTGAACTTTATTCCAACACACAATTTACAGGGATCAAATTTTCAGCAACCACTGTCGCCTTCATCAGGATAATTAATGACCAATCACTTCACAACGTGATCTCGCGAGAGTTACGGTTTACAAACACGTAACCTTATTCACACGAGACTTTACCGATACGTGATGTAAGCAATTGATCAAAAGTGCCAGAGAGATTATATCGTCCACCATCTCTATTAAGTGAAGGCTGAAGTGCTCTGATATATATGGCCTCCTTAATGCCTCTTAAAAAGTAGTCCTGTTCAGTGTCCAGTATTCTCACTTAATAATCTGTTTTGTTGGCCTCTGAGAAAAAGTTAAAGTAACAAAATTACAAACGTAATAAAAATAAATACTGAGAAATAGAGATGTGCACACTACATGTTATATGAATCCAAATCAAATCAAACATAATGCTACAAGCACACTTAATACAAGGGCAAGATAAAGACCAAGGACTTTCATCTTAGTTTGTCTTTCATCTTTATAATTATGCACCTTTTTGTTCATTCTACATGTAAATGTACATTGTAAATGTCTTATAACTAATCTCCAAGCAGATGGTGGGGGATGCTAACTTGTTAAATTTTCCCAGCTTCCTTCCTAGGGGGTATCTAGCCCACCCTAACATCTGCTTGGAGAAGACTTACAATGGCAAGATGTCCGGGAGGTGGGCGTGGCACCAGGGCGAGGTTGGAGCTGAAGTCTGCCACCACCATCTCCATGGTCCGCACGTCCTTGTGCAGCTGCTGTACCAGGCTGAGAAGTCAACCAAAATATGTGAACCTCAATGTACAATGTACTGTATGTGGTTTTACTCTGTGTCAATTGGTAGTTACATGTTTAAAATTAAAACTTTTGTTCCAACACAAAAAATTCTCTCACCTAGAGCTTTCGACCAGTCACTCTGGTCTTCCTCTGAGTCAGTAGACACTGAACAAGACTATTTCTTGAGAGGGGTGAAGGAAGCCATATACATCAGGGCCCATCACCCTACATTGAAACGCGATGGGGGCCGACATCGTCTACCAGATACCTTTGACCCAGTGTTGACGTCACACTTCAAAGAAGCCACATGACAAGCTTCACTGGGTCAGTCTACTGAGGAAGACCTGGTCGAGTGACTGGTCGAAAGCTCTAGGTGAGAGAATTTTTTGTGTTGGAACAAAAGTTTTAACTTTAAACACGTACTGTGGTTTTGTATGCAATCCTCTGTGTCCTGTTATGGTGATTGTGTGGGCCGGCTGCAGTCTTCACAGCCAAGGGCTGAGTTGTGAGGAGCTTACAATTGATTTGGCTGAATCACAAGGGTCTGGAGCGGCTGCCATTCAGCACTAAACTCAGGTGACCTCAATATGACCCCAGGTGTGGCCATACGACTGTAAGATTTGAACCACTCTCACCAAATTTCATGTTAGGTCACACCAACTAAATTTTATGGATGACATCCGCGCGCGTTCTCAAAAAAAAAAAAAGATCACGTCCTCCGAGGCTCTGGGTAGTCCATGGTAGTTAACGACGATAGGGAGCCGGTGGTAACTCGGAGGACGGCACCCAGGCTACAGAAGCTCTACGACTCAAGAACTCAGTACATACGTACAGTACCGATTCATAAATGCCGCAAAAAGCCAGCATGTGCAGGCTTGTCGTATTTGTCGCTATGTACTGCCGCAAATTCATTATGCCAGTGGTTTGTTAGCATTTTTATTTTTGACCAGAATTTTTTTTTATTCGCCCACGTGCACTAATTTGGGGGTCTTCGGAGGATGTCATCCATTAAATTAAGTCGGTGTGGCTTTATTTGGCCCAAAAATTAAGGAGTTGAATTAGTTTAAAGAAATGGCAGGAGGAGGAGGAGGTGAAGAAACATGATAATAATAATAATAAGTGTTGCCCTACCAAGTGAGACAATCCCTCATAGTGAAGAAATAAGGTGCCCTGGACACCATACAGCAACACAGGGGCACATAGCAGATCTTGGTGCCTTCCTCCCCCTCATCATTTAGTGGAACAGCCCGTATGGAATACTCCGACTTTCCCCTGACCTAAACAGACAAAAACATTAATAATCACATTTTTCAGTAATGTTTGTGGAAAAGAAGAAAAAGTTTGATTGTTAGCATGAAAGTTCATCGTGTTTGTATACTTTATTATGACAAAAAGGGCTAAACGTTCTTGCCAACACTCTTGCAAGTCCCAATTTACTCAGTGTTCACAAGAACATTTAGCCCTTTTTAACATAAGTTTGATTGTTGGAATTATATATACTTCAAAGAAGATGGTACATTTGTACTATAAATGATGGTCAATACATGTACAGATTTCTGATGCTTGAGTCAAAGGAAAAAAAAATACAGTCAAGCTTACCAAAGTCACCAACTGACTCTATATAAGCTGACGTCGACCATTTGGCCATGATAACCACTTTTTCTCTGCACAATTTAGGACTGCATGCAGCCTATAATCCCTGCCTATAACCACCATATTATTTTCACGCATACATGTATACATTGTAGCTGCACTGATTCTTAACAGTAACTAAGTGAGAAATTATTTTATCAAAATTGTCTAGTTTGAGTCGGGTTTCAGGCTCACTTGGTATCAAAGATGGCTTACATATATGTCATCAATTTTTTTTTGAGTAAGAAGAACACTTGCTAAGAGAAGACCAGATTGTACAGGTCAGCTGGGTAGCTGTCTTTGGCAAGTTTGAGTGTAAACATAGGCCGTGTTTAAGTGAAGTCACCCAAGGCGCTTTACATGTGGTTTACCCCGAAGCCGGTTTCAAGTGGCTCCATCTGAATGCTCCAAATCACATTGAAAGCGCCTCGATCCCAAACCACTTCTAGAGGTGGTTCAAATCGGTTTTCCCCGCATCGCGATTTGCGTCTGAACGCAATGTGATTTCAATGTGACTTCACCTGGTCATGGATTACGGGGTGATATTTCTTTATCTATAATATTCTGCAATACCAACTTTTACGTGGCAGCAACTTAAAGAGCAGTAATGGTCAAATAATGTGTCCTTTCTAGGGCGAGCTTCACCGCCTCTGGCGGGACCACGTCCGCATTCGGCCAAGATACACTGGGAGGGGGGCATCAGCAAGCAGGTCGTTGACCTCTGACATTAATAACACGCCACCTTGCGTGTTATCATGAAACAGCAATAAATGTAGCTCAAGCGAATTGTGATCGGACACGGTTTCACAGGAGTGTGTGGCAGGTGGACCAGATGTGAGGAATTTGAGTTACCCGAATCGCGGTTTGGGTGACTTTACATAAACACGGCCTATGATGTAGCACCTCACCTGAGTGGCAAGAAATTTCCTGTAGCAGGTGTAGACAGTGGCGTAGGAGTGGGCACCTGAGATATCAGTCAGAACGAGGTAGTGTACGTGGTCCTTAGGGCGGTCTTTGTAAACGTATGCATTGCCTGGGTACAATTAGACAGGACTGCCTCGTTAAGACATTCTTAGAAAGATGTGGAGGAGGAAAGTGCATTAAATGTTCTTTAATCATTGAGATATCTAATGAACAATTTCAACTCTCAGTGGGGTTGTGTGGCGTAGCGGCAGAGTGCTCGACTCGGAACCTAGAGGTCCCGGGTTCAAGTCCTGACATGCCACCGATCTTGTGCCCTTGGGAAAGGCACTTTACACGACTTTCCTCACTTCGCTCAGGTGAAAATGAGTATTGTCCTGTCATGTATTTGTCCCCTGTGTTGGTGGTGGCAATAATATAAGTTGATAAAGATTGAGTGTGCCGTCACCACGTCTGGTGATTACATGTTGGAATAAAAAAAAACTCAAATGTAAGATGGAAAGTTAAGCAAAATAATTATATAAACAAATTTGAAGCTTTATAGTTTAAAGTCTTTTTTATCTTCTGATGAACACTGAAAAGTAAACCATGCCATATGTATGATCATACAGCGCACTAGCGCCGCGCTACGTGATTTCCTTGTGCGCTACTTGCTCCCGGACTGAGGTAGCGCGGTGCGCTACCTGAAAAAAATCCTGCTGGCCGCATGGTTGCGACATGCTACGACGTTTTCGGCAGCTCGGCGGAAAAATAATCCATCCCCAGAACATGTTTTCCTCATTATATGAGTTTTTGATGCCGTAAAATGTTTAAAATGGTTGAAATTTGCCCAAAAATACAGCTCGAGCCTGTTAGGCGCAACCTAAAATTCTGATGCGCTTCCTAGTTTTTGCCCCAGGTAGCACAGTGTGCTACCTGGCTCAAAAAAGTATTTCGAACACTGATATATTGATGTATCCTTACCAGGTAGACAGAGTGGAGGCAGGGAGGAAATGACATCTGACCCCACAGGAAGTGCAACTGAGTGTTTCCCAGTGGGGGTGAGTCTCCTTAGTGACTGGCTCCGCCTGGTTTTCCCCCCCTTGGGGGGGATGGTACTGGACACCCCCCTGGCAGGAGAGGGGGGGATGTTGGAAGACCATGTGGAGGTTGAGAAGGAAGCCATGGAATCAAAGATGGAGGAAGAGTTGGGGAAGTTGGCAACTTCATGTGCGCAGGCAGCCAACACTTGGGACTCAAACGCTGTAGTGAAGAGTGGGGTGGGTCCAGGTAACACCTCTGATGACTGTAGAAAAAGATAAAGCCTTATTATTACACCATATTATTAAAGGATCAACAGAGAGTCAGTTAAGAGGTGGTCCAACACTTTAACTAAACTAGACGGCGTCATCACGCTGGAATGCAGGTCTGTCAGACCAAGACGTCAAGCGCAGGCTTGGGATTGCCTCTGCAGCCTTCGCCAGCCTTGACCGAGGGCCTGCAAGGGGGGTCCCGACAACGATCTACGCTGAATTCGGAAACCTCTTGATTACACTTTACGATAAATTCCAAGTGGCTACAATGCATTACGTAGAATTAAAACGCCGAATACACTCTACGCAAAAATATTAGGGTGGTCCGTCTACGTAGAATTAAAACGGCCGATTGCGATCTACGGAAAACGGCTTGCGTGTGTGGTGTTGACCGTGTGTGGTGTTGCAAACATCTCTCTAGAGCAGTCAAACTGTTCCCCACCTGTCCACCAGGTACATAATCAGGCACCAGTCCTGTGTGCTGGTCCATCCCCACCACCACCAGGATCTCCATCAGGCTGTTCTGCAGTTTCCCTGATGACATCGTCCTCTTCAGATCTCAAGATCCCTGAAAGTTAGAGGAAATTCATAATTTCCAACAGAATTACTTGTGGTATTATTATAGTCCTACTAAAGTAAATATTTTGGTTAATATCAATTTGAAAATCAAACAAAGGCTCAGATTTAAAAAGAGCCAGGCAATCAAAAGTAAGGCAGTTGCTTATTAGCTTGACTGCATAACGCAAACCCCTGGCTGTAAAGTGTAATCATATTATAACACGATTTATCATATCTATTAAACGTTAACTACATTAACTAATACAGTAGTAGCGTGCGTAGTCCAGTGGTTAGCGATCCTGCCTCTGGACTAAGAGGTTAGGAGTTTGAATCCCGGCTGTTGTCGCTCACCCGACATGCACGCTACTGTTAAGGATCGCAGTCCTTAGGACGGGACGTTAGCCGTGATCCACTGTTTGTGCTTGTCGAAAAATTATGAGCTAGGGGAATTTCCCCGGTACAATGAACCTGTAAATACTGTACATAGCATCTGTCTTCTCTGTCACGACCAGTGGAAGATGAGCTCTGCAATGAGCTAAACTGGTTCGAGATCACTTTCACTTTCTTTCTGAACAGATCAAGAAGGTTTGATTTTAAACCTCCTTGAACAGATGTTTACCTGTTAACCATTTTTATTTTCTGTCTCTGTTTTCCTAAAAAGCGCAAAACAGTAAAGGTACAAATTTACCTGGGAAACAAAAACGGAACCCTGAACACGGAAGCAGCAGACTACAGCAGTCACAAAGCACCAGGCGGAATTAATAAAGCGAAACTTAACATCCTCCTACTACATTACTAGTGTCAGAACAGGAAGTTATCAACAACTCGTGATCGACCTTTGACCTCTGCCAGAAAAATAGGTCGGGTGTTCAATGTTTCGATTTCAGTGCCCAATCACTCAACAACAAGACTCTAAACCATTGTCTGACTCTCATTTTAAAGTTGATCATCTAATAACAAAATCAAATTAAACTCAAAGTCCTATATAAAATATTGCATTTTTACATTTTTTTAAATGAAGGGAGATATTTTAAGGCACTTATTAAATCTTTATGTTGGTCAGCTACAAACGTTATTCGCGCGTTTCCAAGATGGCCGCCCATGTGAGGAGGAAAGCGGCGTTTTCTTCAGCATTTTCAGAAGTTTTGACGACTTATAACGGCATAGAATGTTGAAGTAAGTATTTTGAGGTTTAACGTACTGCTTGAGACGCATTTGTGGTGAATTGTTGCGGAAAATGCCGTTTTATTTAGCACAAACATTGCTAGTCGATTCGTGTGTAGCCATGCTACTTTTCCAGCTAAATGTTACTTGCACGTGCGTTGAGTTTTAACGTTTCTTTAAACAAAACAAATCCGATTTTTAGCTGCCTCCAAGACACGGATCCCTTAAATTAGGTTGTTCTCTGTAATATATAGCAATATGAAGGCTCACAGTTCCGGTGTTATTGGATTGCAGTTTTGTTTTGGAAAGTCAGCCCCCCTCCCCCAAGGCTTGCCAGACGTTCCATGTTCGAACGTTGCTATAACGTTGTTTTGTGTCTTTCTGACGTGACCATGTTCTGTTACAAGCTGAACCTAGGGCACATTTCCTTGGCTCTCTGTTTTGTAAAGGCCTTTTAAAAAGTAATTTCGTGTTTTACCATGACGTTTTTGTTGAATATTTATGACAGTATCGACCTTTGTTACCTTGTACCTTGTACCTTGGTCCCTTAACCCAGGCCAGGGTCGTGGGGGCACTGCATGGTGGAGTGTCTGACCATCTGCCGCCATCCCTCTCGGCTGTGAGCTAGGGTTAGGGTTTCCGAGGGATTTTTTCCTGTCCATTCTTGGATGTTGTCGGCCCATTTTTTCTTCTGCCTTCCCCTCGACCTTTGTTACATCAAATCAAACCAATCTTTGTTATATTTCGTAGTATCCAGCCTGTGTTTTGTGTTTGAATTTTGTTAGAATGCAATATGCATTTGTACATTTCTGACAAGAGTTTCTGTTTCCCCATGCTTGAAGTGAGTTCTTCCCTTCCTCTCTCTTGGTCTCTATCCAGTCTTTTCCCCCCAAAACTGGTGGTTAGATGTGCTTGCATCAAGTGCAAGTCATTTTTTGAAGCAAGATTTTTTTACGGCTGGATGCCCTTCCTAACGCCAACCACAACACTAGTGCTAGTAGTAGGGTCCAGGGTGCCGCTAACTGATGGGAGATCACAATGTAATCATAGTGTGTCCTGTCCTGAAGGCCCATTCACCCTCCTAGCTAATAACAAGCGATAGCTATTATCACATGGGTTTCCAAATGTTCTGTAGAATAATCGAAATACACTTCTCGTGAGCCACTTTCAAAAATTCAAATACTAGTATTGGTTTCTGACGTTGGAATTTACTAGCCTGGGTGCCATCTGAATTTGTAACGGCTACCCCAAAAAAATCTTGGGGTAGCCGTTACAAATTTGGATGGCACCCAGGCTAGGAATTTACGTACATTGTTACAATTTTTTGAGGCATGAAGACTGAGGCATGAGACTAAGAGGCATGAAATGTTGGTATGTTTCACATTGAAAGGATTGTTTTCTTGGGTGGGCATGACATAGATAATATTCAACCACTGGGCGATCTAACCTGTGGTCGGGCTGGTACCTCAGGTGCTACAGAATACACCATGTCGATTTTCAATTGACAATGTTGTATTCTTACATGACAGTTTGTACTTATACTTGCAGACATGATGTCTGGTGACCCTGTGTGGTGTGAGGAGTGTCAGACCAGGGGGAAGAGGAGACAGCTGGTGCTGTACCAGTGGAGCTCAGACGAGGCCTGTTATATGTGCCAAGATGATGATGTAAGTACAGGTCTTCTTCTTAGGCCTAGGAAAAAATGTTGTGTTTCCTGTTTCAGTCCTGAAAAAATTAGGGTCAGTAGGTAGGGATTATCTTTTTTTTTCTTAGACGTTGGCTATCAATTAATCAAGTTTATACAGTTTAACAAAGTAAAACTTGCATGAGGACACTTATATTTTCAATGTCAATGTTTGAAAACTGATTGTACAACAGTTCTTCACCAACACGTCAGATCATGGAGCTAGAAAAGGTTGATCAGCTCGAAAAATTGCAGGGGTCCACCCCCCAAAAAAGCCTAAGGCCAGCAGTATTTTCTAGGGTCGGTCAGGAAACAGGAAACACATTTTTTTTCCTAAAAAAATGTTGTGTCTGGTAATGTCATTGGATTCAATTTCTAGTCTGACTGTCTTATAATCTCCTTAATTATATATTGACAGTAATTTACTGCAACAATGTGATGGCACTCTCAACTTTTAGAACTTATTTTAACACCACCAATCTTTTGTGGAATAGTTAATAGCGTTCATTCAATACATGCACACATTGAATAATTGTGTACAACATGGTAGAGACTTTGATATGATAGAATTGCTGATACATGTACATGGCTTCTTTCCCTCTACAGTGTACTTTCCCAATGGGTTGTACGGACATGTTCAAGTACACCATCGTACGTAACAGCTCAGATCTCGTCAGCCAGCGCCGCAAGAAGCGCAAGTCCTCGCTACCTCCTGTCACACAGATCAACCACGTCACTGCTCCCACCCCTCCCATTATCTGTGACGTTTCACCCCCCTCGCTATCAAGTGGAACATTCCAGGCATGGAAGAAACCATTACCTCTCAAGCAGGGGGAGGGGATGACACAATCCGGTGCTTCTTTGAGTGAACAGTCAGATGGTGGCCTGTCTTTCCGTTCTTTAGGTACATTCTGCAATAAATCGGCTACTTCTAAGTTTGCTCCATACCAATCAGTTAAGACAACCACTACAGCAATACATGACATGGTAAAGTTGCCATCCTCACCAACAGACATCTTTTCTCAGGGACTTGCCAGCAAGGACTTGATGTCAATGTTCTCTGAAAACAGCAGTGCACTGATGGGTACTGCATGCAGCCCTTGTGACTGGGATTTGGATTTGGATGACATCTTTCCACTTGGAGAAGGTTTAGTTTCTCCTAGTCAGGGTAAAGCCACATCAGTACGTAACAACAGTCTCACAACAGCATCAGAGCCTGAGAACATAGCACCACATCTGTGTACAGATTCACAGGTAGACTGCGTTGTGAAGCTGGCACAGAATTCTGTGTCAGGAGATTCAAGCACACCTAACTCAACAGAGATTCAGAAAGCAGCACCGTGTTTGCTAACAGATTCAGCTGAAGAGAGAGTAAAGCAGACTCGACATTCAGCCTTGACAGATTCAAGCTCATCTAAGCAATCAACCCCAGAGGATGTAGCACTACAGTTGCATACTGATTCAGGGCAAGATGGCACTGTAAAGCTGGCTCAGCATTTCGTGCCAGACTCAAGCATGTCTCAGGGAATTCCCACGGCTGCCCACAGCGCAATCATAGATGACCATATGTCTGAAGAGGACTGCACAATACAGTGGACAAACGCCCACTCCCTCTGCTGGCTAGATGCGGCTATGTGCATGTTAGTTCACAGTCAGATTCTGCGCCATCGTCTTTCCCAGCTCAATGGAAACGGGGAAGGCACCGTGAAAACACTCCACCTCGCCTATCAGCAAGCTCAGGACCTTCTGTCCAACTACCAGAAAACCAGGAAGACACCAGAAAAGTTGAAGTTTCCTAAAGCCGCGCAAAACTCAGAAGAACTGATCTGTGTGGAGCGTGCTACGGAGATTCTTCACGACGTGAGACAGAAGGTGTTTGAGTCGTTGCGTCCGACACTGCGTTGTGAGTTGGGGAAGAACGAGAGTCCAGTGTTCGCCCTGCCGCTGCTGCTCCGGGAGAACTGGCTGATTGAGGACCTGTTCAGGATGGAGTATGACTGGCAGTTCAGCTGTGACAAGTGTGGATTCACCAAATCAGACAGGTAAGCAATGTGTAGTACACATATATGTACATGTATTTCCATATAAACCAGGTCAGTTTGTCAATTTTGGAATCTCTTTTTGGAGGTGCAGTGTTCTAGCTAGCGTCTGTCTTTTTATCATTTGACGTAGTTTTGAAGATCGTGACAGACGAGATTTTGCCAAGTCCGTCATCTTTGACAGGAAAAAACTTGTGTAGATATAAAAAGAGGGATTTACAATTTAGTGTACCAGGCAGGTATATGTACCATCAAATAGAGTTTCAAAACATCAACATTTAAAAATTTTCGAAGTCTTTGAAAGGAAAAAAATTTCAGGCTCACTAGAACTCTGGGAGTGTGGTGATATTGGGATAGTAGGTGGATAGAAGTAACTTACTTATTATTAGGGCAGGTCCATTTCTGCAAAAGCTTGATATGGAACAGTCCATGTTTGCATGGGGTGTGAGATGGAGTGAAATATGATGTACATGTATCTGCTCTCAAATGTGACCTTTTTTTAATAGTATTTGTGACACATCAGAGTGAGAAAAACATGGGTAAGAATTACTATTGACTTTCCTTCCATGTTTTGCTGCAGGATGACCAAGGTACTTCCCACCTTCCCAAGTGTGACACCTGACTTCAGCCTGCTCCAGGCGTACCACCTGCGCAGCTGTTTCAGCTGTGGAGCTCCAGGGCAGAAGAGGAGGATGGTATTCAGCCGGTTAGTATAACTTTTGTTACTGGCAGGGTTTTGTTTGGTTACCTTCAGGTCAAGTGATGACCACAGAAGGTCAGACACAAGAAATTAAGTCCCAGAATTGAAAACTACAGGTCAGGTCTGTTGGGAAAAAAAGAGCTCGGCAGAGAAATTGACAACAATGAATAAAACAAGATGTGCTCTTGTCGTCTTGCTAGACCGTCTACAGCTTCAATCATTTACTTTCTACAGTTCTAGCTGTGCAATACGTTCACAAAAAGTAGTTTATGGAGGTGTAAATCTGACTTTTTACCTCCATGAAAAATGGAGGTATTGTTTTTGGCATGTATGTGTGTGTGTCTGTCTGTGTGTGTTTGTGTTTCCGCACATTTGTTGTCAGCATAACTTCATAACTCCTTTATGGATTGTGATGATATTTGGTATGTTGGTAAGTCTTAGGAAGACGAAGGTCAAATATGGGCCTCCTGATGGATGACCTTGGTACTGCAGCAAAACTTCCGGTTTTTGTATACGTATCTTATGTCCTGAACATGCTATGATGGGAATTTTATACCTTGTGACATGTGTAATTTACTTAAAGGTTAACACCACTATGCATATATTATGTTAATGTAGAGGTCATTTGCATAATTAATGAGGACATGTTGAAATGAAGTATGACAAAGCAAGCCGATATTTCATGGAGGTATGAGATCTCAGAACTCTTGTTTCTTGTTTATTTGAGAGACACTAACGGTCTGGTTTCTGTGTGTACAGACTGCCCCCGTTTGTGATGCTGCACCTGGTGAACGGACTGTCTCACAACAGACTGGAGGATCTGGACTGTACCTACCAGGACAGACAGTACAGGCTGTCTGCTGTCATCAGATATCAGACTCACCCGCAGCACTTTGTAGCCTACATCAGGGACATACAAGGTAATGACATGTTTTTTGTGAACAGTGATGCTTACACTGCTTAATTAGGACCAGTGTTCTAGCGAGTGTCATTTGAAGAAATTTTGCCACTGATGACAGAAGTCTGGCCCAATTCATTATCCTCGTAAACGAAAATTGACATGTAAAGACAAGCTTAGTCTACCAGCAAAGCTTTCCCTTCCAAATGCAGGAATTACCGTTTCAGAGCGCCAAGATTACAAAAGGCTTAGAAATGTTCCTGAAAAAAATTGCCATATCAAACAATTACTGGCACATGTGCTAACTTGCATCTTATTTGGCTGTCCCCAGGTAACCGTTGGCTGCAGTGTGATGACTTGAGTCACCCCGTGTGTCGCTGGCAGGACACCCCGCCCTCCATCCCTCCCTCGCAGATTCACATCGTCTCCTGGGAACTTCAATCAGACGACCCCACAGCTGCACAACTCCCTTCATCTTCTGTGGCCAGCAGAGGCAGCTTACTGTCCGACTCAGGCAGTTCCAGTATCAGAGGCACACGGAGGAATTCGACTTCCAGTGAGTGTTCTTCACTCTCATCTCTGCAGTATAACATCGACACGGTGGACTTGACAACAGACGTAGACTTGTCAGGAAATGTGTCCAATGGTAGTGGAAGTTTGTCCCAGGGACCTGCTGAAGGTGGGGTGACAGACACCGCTGTGAACAGACTGTCAGGACTGGCTGTACAGAAGGGAGCTGTGGTTAGTACCAGCCCTACTACAAGTCTGCAAACAACACAGTCAACACAGTTCAGGGTAGGCACAACAAAAGTACAGCCAAGCACGGCAAAGACAAACGTAGCTCGCAATCTCTTCACAGAAAAGCCCCCCTCCCCTCCGAGAATGTGCCTTGCCCCCCTCCCCATAGGTAAGGCGTTGAGTCCCAAGTCCCAGTCGTCCCAGGATACAAAGTTAGAGCATGTATCCTCACAGCCCAACTTGTCCAAGGCAGCTCCCATTTTGAGAAGCCCCAACTCAGCATTCACCGTCTACAATGGATGTGGTCCAAAGAAAAGTCCCCAAACCCTCGCTGCATCCTCTGTAAGTGCTCCAAACACAAGAAGTGAGAGTACTGAGAAGAATCCAGAGGACAAGAAGAAAACTTTCACTGTTGATGCATATACTAGACAGATTGCTTCCAGTTCAAAGGTCAGACAGGGAAGGGGAAAGGTCAGCAAGCCCAACACCATCAGACATCTGACCCAGAATGCAGCAGCACCAAGTACAAAGATACTCAACCCTTCGTCACTGAACAGATATCTCGGAAAACCAAGTGTAGTAACACCCCAGCAGTCTTACCCAGCAGTGAGGAGACATGTGGCTAAGGATGCAGAACCTAACCACACAACAGACTCTGTTATCAGACCTGCAAAGAGGGCATTAAGCACTGGGACAGGTCCAAGGAAGAGAACCAAAGTTTCTGCCCTGCGAAATTCAACAAGCACAGCTCCCTCTTCCCCAGCCTTGTCTACATGTACTCAGAAGTCATATCTACAGACTGATAAACAGAAGACGTTAACTGTAAACTCTTCAGCCTCCGTTTCTAAACGAAAGATCAGTGAATTGTTGGGGAACAAGAAACAGTTCGCCGGCTACCAGCCCAGAGGGACGACAAGTGGTAACACACTCTCAGACAAAAGAACCAAGTACGTAGGACAGTTTTCCATCTCTAACAGCCAGCACGCGCTAGCAAGACTACAGGGCAGCCAGAAAGGAAAAACCACAAGTCTAGGTCTGCAGAGAATGCCAGCTAAAAGTAAAGCTGTAACAGCTAGTGTTAGTGTGGCACAAGCAAAACAGCAACCTTCTGATACCAGTAGCCCTCTGCAAGAGGATAGAAGTGGACACAATGGTACATATGAATACAATCAGATAGATGCACAGATGAACACAACTTTAGAGAAAGATGTGCCAAATAGAACTGTCCCTGACAGTGCTACATCCTCGAAGATGGCCTGTTCCCAGTCTAATGAGCAACAGAGCCTGCAAGGGAGCAAGAAGCGTCTGAGTGAGACTATGAGTGAGCTTTGTGAAAAACTTGGCCTGCCCACAAATAATGTCAAGATGGACTCAACAGTTGAAGACAACTTCTTTGACTCCTTTTTCGATGCAGATCAGTCCATGGATGATTTTGAGATCAGCCCCTCAAAAGACGTCCTGTGCCTTGTGGCAGATGACAACGTAAATGACTCTGAGTTCTGTCAAAAGTTATCCACAATCGGAAATCTACCTGTTGACACCGGCATAGCCACTAGTCCAATCAAGGTGTCAGACAGTAACCACAACAGAGTGGCCAGAAGATTAGCAGTTTCCACTGACGGGAGAGAGTCCAGCTTTACCATCAACACTTCGGCTCCAGCTTTGGTTAACAAACTGTCCAGAACATTGCCAGGAAGTCCAGCCACTTCACAGAGGAAAGGACAGCTACCCACCGTGTCACAGCTATTGAAGCAGAGAATAGTGCAAACAAAGTGAAAATGCCGATTAAAAACATTGTTTGACAAACTACTATGCAGCTAGTAGCTTATCACAGCAGCTTAGCCTGGGAAATACTTATCTGGCTTGTAAAAGGTGTAGATGCTTCAAATCTTTAGACTTTGTTGACTCTTACTAGTCTTAGTCTAAATTATGTTGTTGTCATTTGGCACAAGGTTTTTTGTTTCATGTCAAAAAATGGATCACTGATATCCAGTACACCAACTTTTTTTACCAAAGGCTTCCATCTTGCTGAGTTTACTTCATTGTTAAATCTACATGAAGACAGAGGAATTGATAAAAATGTGACAGATAATTTTCCAACTGTTCTGTTTCTTTCAGTTTCTTATCAATACAAAGACATTTTTGTTGCATGGACAAGTCATTTGGGGCCACTTATATTACCATACATACATATTATGTTGCCATTATGTTATTGTTAACATTTTGTTAAATGTTCAAGTTGTACTTACGTTATATTTATCAAAAGCAGCATGGAGTTGACTTTCAACACACAAACCAGTAACACTTCTAACACTCCACCTGTTTTTGGTTGGTCTATTATTTTCATATGGCAGCATTACTGTAAGGTTTTTCCTCATGTTTGTGACATGACAACAGAGGCAACTAGTGCTGCAAACCTTAAGTTAACATCAGGTACAGGTACATGTACTGGTATGGGAGGTATAGGTCTGAACATGAACAATTTGGACAAAGTAACCAGTGATCTTCAATAAACAAGAACATGCATGTTCATTAAGACTTCAGATATATGATTTGTAAATACCAGTTTTGTTTCTTGCAACAAATTGCAAGTCTCAGCAAGTACATGTATCTTTTGCACTAACCAATGCTTCTGAAAGTTCAAGGATTTCATCTTTTTCAGGGCTAAATTTTTATCTCTGTTCAAGGAATAACATGTTTTTAGTAACAAAATTGTCAAATACTGTACTTGGGTGTAAGCCTATTCAGGTACATTACCCTTACGTTATTTTGGACCTGATTTCTGCAGTACTGTACCTCACTTTTGTCAAGCATTCGTAAAAACTGATATCAGTTGAACATGGAGATATGGTGCTTGACTGGTATAGTCTGACCCAGGCAGGCTATATTGTTATGTTTTTTTACCACAAAACCAGTCTGCTGCTGTTCATCATACGTATTTGTATCTGGATCAGAACTTTATATTTGTATTAAATCGTGCAGTTCTGCATGTGACAAAAACATTGTGTTGTTGCTATCTCTAATTTAAAGTTATCTTTCTCTGCTACAAGAAAGAAAGTCCAATATAATGCCAAAAATAAGCCAAAGCCACAACCTCTGCTTGGAGTAGTTAAAGCTAGCCCCCTGTGCAGGTCTGGTGGGCATTTTAATACAGCCTGGAGGTTTACGAATAAGTAAAGCCTTGTTCATGTGAAGTCACCCAAACCGCGATTCGGGTTACTCGCATTCCTCACATCTGGTCCACGTGCCATACATTCCTTTTAAAACGTGCCCGATCACAATTCTCCGAAACCGCATTCATTGTTGTTTGATGAAAACACGCTAGGTTATTATTGTCATAGGTCAATGACCTGCTTGCTGGTGCCCCCCTCCCAGCGTATCTCGGCCTAATGCCGACGTGGTCCCGCCAGAGGCGGTGAAGCTCGTCCTAGAACAGACACATTATTTGACCATTACTACTCAAGTTGCTGACATGTAAAATTTGGTATTGCATACAAATAAAGAAATATCACCCCATAATCCACGACCAAGTGAAGTCACATTGAAATCATATTGCGTTCAGACGCAAATCGCAATGCGGCCGGGAAAACCGATTCGAAACCACCTCTAGAAGTGGTTTGGGATCGAGGCGCTTTCAATGTGATTTGTGACTTGAAACCAGCTTCGGGGTAAACCACATGTAAAGCGCCTTCACTGACTTCACATGAACGCGGCCTAAGTACCACTAAGTAAGACAGTGTTAAGATCGATATGTAACCACTCAATGCAGATTTGTATATATTTTATTCACCTATCATGCTAGGTGTTATGTACCTGTGCCTTACAACAAAGAACTTAACATACAGTCATACTTTGAGATCGTACATGTACCACTAAATTTTTTATTGGCCAATATACATGTTCAGTTCAACAAAAATGCTAATTGAGACTACAAGTACTTTGCCCATAGCAGCTACGTATACTATATACACAAAAATCACTTTCATGATCTAAGGCCACACCAATTTAATTTCTTGGTTAACAGATTTTTCTAGAAAAAATAATGGAGCGGGCGGGCGAAAAAAATAAAAACAGGCCTAGGCATCCTATTATGGCCCAAAATGGTACAATAGGAGCCATGAAGTCAAAATTTAAACAATGAATTTTGAACTTTTAATGATAACACTGCATTGAAAGATGGAATAACTGTTAACAATTAGGATGAAAAGGACTGTTTTCAACTGTTCAGGGCAAACTGAGCATTTTGCAGTTGATTCTGAATTTTTATTTTTATTTGCAAATCAGAAAAAAATGAAGCAGGCGAATCCGTTAACCAAGAAATTAAATGAGTGTGGCCTAATCAGCAACTACAAATCTCTAAATATGTACATTTTAAGTAAACAAAAATTAATGAAGGTCTGTTTTGAAATGGACAAAACACAAATTCAAACTTGGTTCAACTTCAGATGCTGTATCAATCCTCAAGTTCTTCTTCTCAATGGTTCTGATCTAGTCATGGTTTCCCAGAGCAAGCACTTCACTTGGTACAAGAATAAGACAGGCATTACTAAGTTAGCATGAAGAAGTCATTTGACAGAGTCATATTTGATCTCTACATCATAATTATTATTAGTAAGACCAAAACCTCTACTTGGGATTACTAGTAGTACTGGCTTCACATATCTGTTGTATTTAAAGGTTGGAAGCCAAGATAATGATTAAACCAATCACTCTCCTCATTTCCCCCTGTAGCATCTTGTGTTGTTATAGAGCTGGCTGCTTCACTCTCCATGGACAGATGTGAGCCTTTCTCATCAGCATGGTGTTTGGACATGTGCTTTACAAGGCTCACCTTGTAAGCAGAGGCATAATTGCAGTATTTACAAATGTAAGGCTTAACCCCAGTGTGAACTTTCATGTGCATATCCAGGGCTGCCTTATAGCCTGTTCTATAAGAACACTTGTCACATGCATGTGACTTATCCCCAGAATGTTTGACCATATGTTTTCTGACGCTGCACTTAAAGGCAGAAGCAAAGTCACACAGGTCACATTTGTAAGGCTTCTCCCCGGTATGTATTCTTACATGGTTGGTTAGGTCCAACTTTCGTACGGCTTTGTACCCACAGTATTGGCAGATGTGGGGGTACTGCCCGGTGTGTTTGTACATGTGTATTTTGAGAGCGTTCTTGCGGGCACACGTGTACCCACACTGTTCACACATGTATGGCTTCTCCCCGGTGTGAATTCTACTGTGGATCTCAAGGTCAGTTTTCAGTGGTGTAGAGTAACCGCACGTCTCACAGAGGAAACTTTTGCTCCCTTTCTTCTGCTTTGGAGTCTCATGCCCACCGTCGTTATGAACCTCCCGTTTGTGTCTCTTCAGTTTTTCTCTCTTTTTCGTCCTGAAGTCACAATACCCACAGATGAACTGTTTGGTGGGTGGACAGGAAGGTTGGTCATGCCCTGCCTTTTCAACGTGCTCTTTCAGCTCACTCCTGTCAGTTGTTACAAACGTACACTGTGTGCACTTGAACACATCCGTTCTCACTTCCCCAACATGAGTCAGCATGTGTTTAGCCACAGTAGTGTATACCGCACGGTAGCCACAAACCCCACAGGTGAACATCCGTGTACCAAAGTGGTCCGTCATGTGTCTGTGTAGACTGCTCTGAAAACTGGTGCGGAAATCACACTTCATGCACCGGAAGGGCTTGTCTTTCAGGTGGATTCGTTGGTGGTTTTTGAAGTCCCTCCTGTTGATACAACAATAGCCGCATTCCTCGCAGACAAAGGGGTATTGTTTGGTGTGTTTCCGTACTATGTGATTCTTTAATTGGTACCGGGTTAGTCCTGTACAGCTGCACTCTTGGCATTCGTATAGCTTTGAAGATAGCTGTTTAACCTTGATGGACTTGTCTGAAGTAGCTGGCTCTGTTTCCCCACCTGTACTGCTGTCACCACTGTCTTCCTCTTTGTCTGACTGTAATTATACATAAAAACATTGAAATCAATCAAAAGTCAATATAAAAACCTGTGATTCATTAGACAGTAGTGTTGTCAAAATGTATATACCCAATAAGAAGAATTTACACTTAATGTCTTTGGTAGTCACCGTCACCTACATTTTGTAATTCCATGGTCAACCCAACGACATTATTCATTCCAATATAACCTACTAGTAGTGTCCTTGGTCAAACTTTTGTTATCTACAATTTTTCTCCAATTTTTGTCTTCTTCCTTATTACCAGTTAGTGTTTACTTCCTGATAAAAAATTGTACTACATGATGAATAAAGAAATATTAAGTTTTTCACAGAGTAATAAAGATTTAAATTGTAGTCAAGTTGCCAAAGCAACCAGCTCTGTAAGTAATAAGCCGACAGCTGGTCCCAACTACTTGTCCTGAAGGTGGACAAGTGCACTAATTAGGGACTGCACATGGCCCAATCTCTGCCTATAACAACTACATCATTACCTCCATGAAAAATGGAGGTATTGTTTTGGCGCGTCTGTCTGTGTGTGTGTGTGTGTGTCTGTCTGTCTGTCTGTGTGTGAGTTTGTGTTTCCGCACATTTGTAGTCAGCATAACGCCCTTATGGATTGTGATGATATTTGGTATGCTGGTAAGTCTTAGGAAGACGAAGGTCAAGGTCAAGTAAGTTAATCAAAAGTTAACATCATGATGCATATATTATGTTAATGCAGAGGTCATTTTCATAATTAAAGAAGAAATTTACATATCAAGCCCATATTTCATGGATGTATGAGATCTCGGAACTCTTGTTTTCAATAGTGTGTCACAACATGATAACTAGTGAGAAATCTTGGAATTGGCAAGTTTGCCATGTTGGTTTTGACAGCATGACAGTCTCTGTGCAATGTAAAACGACCCCAGCTGAGTCGATGGGGCAGTCTATTGTAAAATGGGTGGACATTTTCTGTGTTTTTTTTTGTTAATAATATATTGTCTTGGCGCCATGCTTTTTGTGTAAGAAGACCTCCTGTATAAGAAGACCACTTTTCCTCAGTCCCCTGGTGGTCGTCTCAAACATCTTTGACTTTATTTGAGCTTCAGTATCACAATTTCTTACAGTTAAGTATACGTCTAGTATTCGTAGAGTTGAGTCTACAGTCAGCAAGGTATTCCATCCCGTTTGGACCGGTATCTGTCTCCTCAACTGTTAATGGTCCACACCAATTTGATTTCTTGGTTAACGGATTCGCCCGCTTAATTTTTTTCTGATTTGCAAATAAAAATAAAAATTCAGAATCTACTGCAAAATGATCATATTTTGCCCTGAACAGTTGAAAACAGTCCTTTTCATCCTAGTTGTTACAGTCATTCCATCTTTCAATGCAATGGTATCATTAAAAGTTCAAAAATCATTGTTTAAATTTTGAACCAGCCTGGTGTGTTGACTTCATGGCTCCTATTATACCATTTTTGGCCAAAATAGGATGCCTAGGCCTGTTTTTTTTTTTTTTTTTTCGCCCGCCCGCTCCATTATTTTTCTAGAAAAATCCGTTAACCAAGAAATTAAATTGGTGTGGCCTTATAATGGTTTGTGTGGGTGGTCTAATGACCTGCAGTTGTATCTATACTTAACTTATAGTTGTATCTATGACCTCATCAAACCTTGCTGTAATGCATACCTGTTCAGACTGGGAGTCCCTGTGATCTGTGTCTGGTAGTTTCACACTGTCTGTATAGTTGGGCTCTTGTCTGTTTGTGAGGCTGTGTTCAGACATACTGCACCTGGGGTCCTCACTACTGCCGCTGGCTTCCCCCATCATCATTATTCACTAGTACTCTGTACACAAATAAGGAAACACATTTGGTGACTTTCCCGACAAAGTACATCATATTTGTTGCTTTGTGTCTTGAAAAGAAACAGAACAACTGGAGTTCTGCAACTTCTTACCTCAATGAAATGTTTTATACCAGTAAAGTGTTTTGGAAATTTTTTGCATGTTGATGACCACCTATAAATGGCTTACAATCATGCTCATTAGCAAACTTTTAAAGAGAAATATTCACATGGCCAAGTAAAATGCAACACACTAACAGTGTACAAAATACTTTTTTGAACCAGTAAAAATTAGGTTGCCCATCAGAATTTTAGGTTGCCCCACGGCACCTATAAGTTACTACTTTCCTCAAATTAAGTAATATTACTTACATAAGCCTTTGACAATATTTCTAACAGCCTTTACTTAACTGATACTAGTAATAGCCATTAATACCTAAAATTAAAAAGCATCTGCAGGCTACAGTGGTGCAAGCCAAGTGGGCATTTGGGGGGGGGGCATTCTTAAAATTCAGGTAGCACACTGGGCTACCTAGGTTCAAAAATAAGTAAAATTTGGTTGCCCGGGCAACTGCGCAACCTGGTATTTTGCACGCTGCGACTAGTAAAGTCTTCGTTTCTCAATTGACATGGACAAAGTTATCCAGTACAAGGACATGGGTAATGCCTGGATATTAATGACCAAGAAGGTTAAATACAAGATTTTAAACCTCCTTGGTTAAAAATGAGTAACAAAGACATAACGTTAATACTACACTTACATGAAAGTTACACACAACCAAGGGGGTTTAAACCTCCTTGCACAATCACAAGCAAACAGTACAAAACAGATAACGTTATATCCATCAAATATACATTCACGCGTATGGTGACAGTTCTCTAACCGAAAACAATGGGCCAACAGCCAATGGGCCCAAGCCAGTGCACATTATGCAAATTTGGGGTAATTGGCACCTCAACGTAAAGTTGGAACTTCACACATGAGGCGAACATCGTTGAATGGCGTTCTGTCATTTAACCTCCTTGGTTGAACACGCTCACCTGGTTTGTACCGCTGCTCAAAATGGCGGATCCCACTAAAGGTCAGAGGTTACTTAACAGCCACAGAGACTCCAGAGTTCCACGATCTCATACCTTCGCCAACTAATTATGTTTACCGAAGGAAAACATATTTTGTTTTTTGCTCAGTTCACTCCTATTCCTCTTCTTCTCCAAAGTGACCTCTGACCTAGCCAATGACCTAATTTGTTGACGTCTGTCACCATGGTAACTAGTGTTGACTTGGGTTACATCATGTTGCAATTTTATATTTAGACTCCTGTCACCATACGCGTGAATGTGTTTGAGCATGGTTTGAGTAAGCCATAACAGAAGGTAAACATTATGCATTTGCTTTGCAAATGTTACTTTTCTAGTGTTAACTTTTACGATTGACGAATTATGATTATGCAAATAAGATCACCATTTGTATGAATCATGTTGTTCATATTCTCGACCCAAATGACAGTCGACAAATAGAAAGCTTAATTCTAGCAGTTCCTCATAAATTATGCAAATGAGGTCCTGTTTGGAATAAGTTATGTTTAATGATGTTCAAGCACACTTGACTTGCCTCAAATGCCATTTATGCCAATAAATACAAGTATGTATAGTTTAATTCCTTCCATTTAAATGTCGACGACTTAGAAGCTTGGTCGGTCATGTTGTACGTAGCGAAGAACCAGCCAGTAGGCTTCTACTTTGGAACCCTGATACAAAGAGAAGAGTTGGACGTCCAAACATAACACTTAAGAAACTTACAGAAACTGAAACAGGCTTGGAGGGCCAGTGAGGAACATATCTCCGCGATGAATGACAAACAGTTCTGGAGATCAAACTTTGTATATTGCTCCACCTCTTCGGAGGATGATAGATGATGATGATGATGTTGTTATATGCCAAATGATCTGTAGTACCCCGTAGTGTCCGTATAGTGTCATTGTAAAGTAATGCACTCAAGTTTGAAGGAGCGCTCATCAGTATCAAAAAATTCAAAATCACTCATGGTATCACCTGTAGTACAAGTTTCTGTATTGAAAGTGGAAATTTAGACAAAATTGGCCCAAGCTTGGCAACACCCTGGTACACTCAGATCTTGAAATAGCCATATATAGACAATTTTAAATTTGGATGATAGCTATTGGTAGATAGCCATTGCGCTATGAGGAGCGATGATTGTATATAGTTTGGGACCACGTCGGCATTCGGCCGAGGTACGCTGGGAGGGGGGCATCAGCAAGCAGGTCGTTGACCTCCGACATCAACAACACGCTACCTGTTTTCACAGGCAAACAACAATAAATGTAGCTCAGGCGAATCGTGATCGGACACGGTTTGCAAGGAATGTATGGCACGTGGACCAGATATGAGGAATGCGAGTTACCCGAATCGCGGTTTGGGTGACTTCACATGAACAAGGCTTAAGTTGAACTTAAAGTTAACGAGGTCAACTTGAAGTCAAGGAAGACCAAATATGGCCTCGCCGCCAGAGCAGTGGGAGGGGCCACCTGTTGCACGGCCTCTGATTACGTCACCGAAACTACTCAATAACCCCTGTTAGTTTCGGTGGAAGCTCCTTGGTTTCGGTGAACATTTTCCTTCAAAGTTGCTGTTTCTTCCTGTACCTGGCAGACGACGCGTCGGTTGCTTGTCCTTCTACAAAGTTCAAACCTTAGTACGTTGAATTAACTTAGTAACGACCAGAGACAACCAAACATGGCCCCGGAACCGCCGCCTGCCCTGGCCGTTACCTACCGTGAAAAAGTCCGACCATTTATCGACTTGGTGGACGAGCTGAGAGCCAGCGGGTTGGACAGGGATGTCACCCTGCCTTCTGTGGTCGTCATCGGGGACCAAAGTGCCGGGAAAAGCTCCTGTCTGGAGGCTATTTCAGGGGTCCAACTACCAAGAGGCAGCGGTACGTTCACGTTACAAGTTTGTTACCTTCGCCAAGAAGGTTATGTTTTCAGAGGCGTTCGTGTGTGTGTGTGTGTGTGTGTGTGTGTGTGTGTGTGTGTGTGTGTGTGTGTGTGTGTGTGTCTGTAAACTCGAGAAAGCTTCGATGGATTGTCTTGATATTAAGTAGGTGGATTCATGAGACCACGACATGATTAGATTTTGGGCACCATGGCGGCTTGTTATGGCACTGTAGACAGGAGCGGACGAAAGCTAACAAGACAAGATTCCAATCCAGTCTATATTATATTGTTGCGGTAGATAGCAAATTTCACATAACATGTTATGATAATAGATTATTGAAATTGTGTATGGTGAAAATTGTGTGCCGTGAAATCAGAAGAGAATGTAACTAGAAAGGTAACATTTGCATAGCAAATGCATCATGTTTGTCTAGCCCAACAAACTACAGTACTTCTTACTCAAAGCATGGACGTGAGCATGTGTATATGTGGTGAGCAACTCTGTTCTACTACATAATGTACAGAGTTTCGCTGCAGCACCAGTTGCCATGGTGACAGACGTCTATCTGGTCCAGGTCATGACCATTGACTCTATTGTTTGGATTGGAAGAAGAAGAAACTGAACAAAAACAATATGTTTCCTTCTGCGAAGGTAAAAATAAGTAACGTTAGTATTCTGGAATGTGAACATTTCTATCTAACAGGTATCGTGACCCGATGTCCGCTGGAGCTCCGCCTGAAGAAGAGTCCGGACCCTGAGTCCGGGTGGAGAGGATACATCCACTTCGAGGACAAGGGAGAAACAAGGTGGGAACTGGATAGTCCTGAAGATGTGGGAGAAGCAGTTAAGAAAGGTGAGTGTCTTGCCGTTTAAAGACGTGCTTTAGGCAGCTTGTTTACAATGTAGGTTAAGTCAGGGTGAGATAGGCCTGAGTAATGTATGTATTTGCCTAGGGCCGTGTTCATGTGAAGTCAGTGAAGGCGCTTTACATGTGGTTTACCCCGAAGCAGGTTTCAAATGGCTCCATCTGAACGCTCCAAATCACATTGAAAGCGCCTCGATCCCAAACCACTTCTAGAGGTGGTTTCGAATCGGTTTTCCCGCATCGCGATTTGCGTCTGAACGCAATGTGATTTCAATGTAACTTCACCTGGTCATGGATTACGGGTGACATTTCTTTATTTATATGCAACACCAACTTTTACGTGGCAGCAACTTAAAGAGAAGTAATGGTCAAATAATGTGTCCGTTCTAGGACGAGCTTCACCGCCTCTGGCGGGACCACGTCGGCATTCGGCCGAGGTACGCTGGGAGGGGGGCACCAGCAAGCAGGTCGTTGACCCCTGACATTGATAACACGCCACCTTGCGTGTTTTCGTCAAACAACAATAAATGTAGCTCAGGCGAATCGTGATCGGACACGGTTTGCAAGGAATGTATGGCAGGTGGACCAGATGTGCGGAATGCGAGTTATCTGATCATGAATCGCGGTTTGGGTGACTTCACATGAACAAGGCTTAATTTGCTCACTCAAAGGCTTAATCTGGTCCATTACGCTCCTGCACTGTGTCATAATCAACGCTCCTGTTCTCAATCAAAATCGCTCCACCCCAGTTGTCCACATGATTTCACAATTTTGACAAATTTGTTGGTGTATAATATTGTTATAACGTGTTGGTGTCACATTGCTATCAACCTGTTGGTGTAAATTGTTAACCCACCTATTGGTGTAAATTGTTATCCACCTGTTGGTGTATATTGTCATCCACCTGTTGGTGTATATTGTTATCCACCTGTTGGTGTAAATTGTTATCCACCTGTTGGTGTATATTGTCATCCACCTGTTGGTGTATATTGTTATCCACCTGTTGGTGTGTATTGCTATCCACCTGTTGGTGTATATTTTTATCCACTTGTTGGTGTATATTTTTAATATCCACCTGTTCATGTATATTGTTATCCACCTGTTGGTGTATATTTTTAATATCCACTTGTTGGTGTATATTGTTATCCACCTGTTGGTTATCCCACCTGTTGGTGTATATTGTTGTTATCCACCTGTTGGTGTATATTGTTATCCACCTGTTGGTGTATATTGTTGTTATACACCTGTGTAACAGTTGTATATACCATGTTAGCCCAGAACCAGCTGGCGGGTGAGTCGCTGTGCATCAGCCCCCGGCTCATCACGCTGGATGTGGAGAGTCCGGACATCCCTGACCTCACGCTGATCGACCTGCCGGGCATCGCGCGGGTCCCGGTGGGCGGGCAGCCGGACGACATCGGAGACCAGGTGAACACATTCCAACACGTGTTCCATTCATGTTTTAGTAAAATGTTAAACTTTATTCCAACACACAATTTACAGGGATCAAATTTTCAGCGACCACTGTCGCCTTCATCAGGATACTTAATGACCAATCACTTCACAACATGATCTCGCGAGAGTTACGGTTTACAAACACGTGACCTTATTCACACGAGACTTTACTGATACGTGACATAAACAATTGATCAAAAGTGCCAGGGAGTTTATATCGTCCACCATCTCTATTAAGTGAAGGCTGAAGTGCTCTGATATATATATAGCCTCCTTAATGCCTC